TGCCCTTTGGGAACAGGAGTTCTACAGTGGCTACCTGACCAACAATGACTACAAGGTCCAGAGGTTCCATGTTCTCGCGAAAAATAAGGGACTTTCTGCCAACCTGGTGTCGCAATCTCTCCAACGCCAGCAGGTGGGGAAACCATGAAAAAAATGATGTCATACCATGATCTTGTTTCATTCTGGGTTGCCAAGCTTTGGGATGGCATTGAAATTCTCAAACCTTTGCCATGAGAATTGAAGATTTTCACCCCTATTCAGCGCGTCATCAAAAACCTGCTGCCTCAAGTTATAGTGTGTACAGGCACCAGTAGTTTTCACCTTCCTGAACTTCCTCACCCAGAGCAGCAACTTCACTACGGAGGATGTCTGGGGGCCCAAGCGTGCAGATTTCCGACCATGGGAGTAAGTCACCATAGGTCACCTGCGTCAGAAGGATGTGAACCATTTGATTCCACATGGATTAACACAGTATGACCACTAGCGTGTATATGATCATGACCAAGCTGGCATGCATGGATTAAAATTTTACATGGATTGACATGCAGGGCCATGTGCTTTGATATCAATTTTTGGGCACCAATACTGAAAATATTTTTTTGGTGGCTCTTTGGGGCAATCAAAATGAAAATACTTTACAGCCGTGCTTTCGGCCACAGGTCAAAGACGACAACAATTACGACTTCCTCACGAAGTTGCTGATCAACATTGGGGTGGTTGTCCCCAACCCAGCGACTGTTCAAGCAGCTTTGGCGGCGGTGGGCAAAGAGCACTGTTTGCTGGGGAAAGCTGCTGGTACTGTTTCTTTGCAGGCTAGGGTGGTCTGCCGACAGTACACCTGCCTTTTGTGTACGTAACCTGTGTATGCAAGTAGACGCAGCTAAAATGGAAATAGCCATAGACTCAAATGACACATAAGCAAATGCAAGGGGTTGCTTTAAATCGTCAGGCTTGGGCAGAGCAAGAGGGAAACCTCCATAGAGGTCTCTTGCAGTATGCCATCCGTCGGGCAAACAGGAACCCGGACTCCAGGACTGGTTGGCGCAGTTTATGATCAGTCTAAGGATGTGCACTTGGGTTTGGGTTGAAAATTTGTTTCATGGGGTTACATTCGTAAACCATTCCATCAACTGACCATTGCAGAATTATATTGAAGGTTGTCGATATAGTACACTGAAGCAATTCCAAATCTCCTGTATAACTACGCAACACATTTTTTGAACCTTGTCTTACCACAGGCAGCCCAATTGGTTGGTCCATGATAGTCCTGTTACTCGGTTTCAACAAAAAATAGGCTAAGTCAGGTTTGAGACATGCCATCCAATCCCATAGGATCTATGCATTGACCACAATTCACCATCAAAATTGGCACCAGTCATAATTATATGAATAATGCTGTCAGTTTTGATGGTGGTCTCACATGGATCTTATGGTAATGGGCCCAAAGCCTGCCTATCCCAGCATGTCCAGGAGCGGTGACGAGCAGATGGAAAAGCTGAAGGCCTTGATATCGCAGCTGCAGGGGGAAGTGCCTGGTGGATACCGGAGATCATCATCGTCAAGGTCCAAGGGGTCAGGAAAGAGCAGCCCAGGTTCTACTAAAGCCAAGTCTTCAAATTTAAAGCCAAGCAGGAACCCAGAAGACATAATGCACGCCAAAACATTGATGTTGGGAGAGGAGAGCACCCTGGTTTTAATTCGCTCATGTGCAAAATGTTCTAATTTGCTTTTTGCTGTTTGGGGAATGGTATCTTTACACCTTAGGTTCTCAAATTGTTTTGCAACCCGAAAGGCCCTTTTTCTACCAAGTGCACATGAAAGGGTTCAAATGCCTGAATGTGATGATAATATAGGCCACATGTTTATTCATATTTTAGGCCATCGTGTAGCCATCATTTTACCATCATCGAACCATTATTTGGGCATCACGTAGCTTTTATTTGGGCATCATGCAGCCATTCTTTAACCATGCATCATTGAACGTCCATTCTTTTACCATCATCGAAACGCTCGATTTTGAGCCATTATTTTGTGTGAAATGTCCCTTTTTAGCTGCCTGCGAACCCAAAAAATCTAAAAATACAGGGTTCCCCCAACCTTCACTAGCATGGTCGTGCCAAGGTACAGATTCCGAATCGCATGGAGAAGTTGGGCCTGAACGAGCTGAAGAAGAGAGCTTGACACATGATGAGCTTGTGAGTGTTTTGGCTTTTTTGCTGATGGAATAACGATTGATCATTGGTATTTCTTAATTTTGGGGTATACCAAACAGTCCTTAGACCCAGGGCACCATGAGGATTTAGACAGAAGACCATATTCAGGTAAAGCATGGCTCATGGGATCATTCCTCATGTTCAAAGATTTTCAGGATGGAGTTTCCGTGACAAGTGATTTTGAGGCTAAGTGATTCGAAATCCAAAATTAATATTAGATCCCAATGTCGCAGTCCCTGCAACCATGCGCTGAGGTCCTGGTGGTGAAGATGAACCTTCACATCCCCTCGACGACAAAACCAAGGACTGGCATGACAGTCTTGTTGCAGGATTTTGTTTCCAGCCGTTTCAAGCTTGTCTTGTTATCGCCACATATGCAATAACTGACCCCTTTAGAATTCAGTTAACTTTCAGGAAAGAGATTGGTAATCATCATCCATTAACCATGACTGGTTAGAAGTCAACACGCTTCATATGGCACAGTTCGGCACCAGGACAAACCTTTCCCTTTGCGGTCTGTTCCCGAAGCTTTGGAGCAGGCTGCACAGGAATCGTTTGCTGAAATCTTTGGGCAAGGTCTCTCAACGGCAGACTTGATGAAGGCTAGATCATGGTCTGGGGACAGGGAATGATTAAGAATGGATCGATGTGTTACCAAATAAAATTCTAGGCCCCGTTAAAGTAATTCATGACCATCGTACCTGGTGATGCTTGATCGCGATCCTGAACATTTTCAGTCGTTTGTGAGCATCCCGAAAATTTTTCGATATGCCCCCTTGATATCCTATGTTTGCCGGATTTCCATTCTTTGCTTGCCAAAATCAAAAGGGCATTTACAAAATTCAATGCATGACCATTCTGTTTGGCCTTCCCCTTTGTGCAGGCCCAGCAGCAATTCCGGAGCGCTTCGACTGCCTTCCATCCAGCTGAAGGACCGCAGCCTGCGGATGTGCCAGGGAAAGGTCGTGGGCGAGGCCGAGGGAAAGGGAGAGGACGCAGTAAAAAAAGACCTAGAGAAAGCCATGAAGGCACAGAATCTGATGATGATCTTGAAGGTGAAGACAAAGAAATTGAGAAGGAATTATCCGATCAAGAGAAAGAAAGGACACCGTCGAAGAAAGACAAAGGGAGAGGTGACCGTCATAAGACCCCCACAAGGCGTCCAAAGAAAACCCCAAAGAAGAGAAGGACACCCAAGTTGAAGCGGGCACTTGCTGCTGCAAAGGAAGGTGAACCTGTTTTTTGTTTGCATGTTAGACGAGTTTAATGACCGGGTGTAATAATCACGACCGTCGAAATTTTGAGCAATCAAGGTTGGCACAGCCGATGTTTTGGCGCAACACGAGGAGGCAGGAAGCAGGGCGGGGTCTGGGTTGGATCAAGAGCCCGCAACATTGTCACGCAATTAAAACCGTTATCCAAGGATGCTGAGAACTTTTTCTTTTCTCGAAACCCATTGGATGGCCATCTTGTTCCAAGTCCATTGCCCCATCATGCTAGGTAGTGGCCAAGTTCAAAGAGGAATGCCGCCAAATTGAAGATACAAGATTTGCCGTTCCCAAAGAGTTGTCCAAGATCAAGCGTTAAGCTCAGTCATCCGCAGCCTAAAAAAATGGTCCCGATTCACAGCCGAGGTCGTTTACCATACCCTCTCTTTCGCCAAGGGGCCCAAGCATCGGAGTGTTGCTACTTGTCTTGGGCACCAGGATTTGAGAAATTGCTGATCAACCATATTGATGTAATGTTCAAAATTCCTTTGGTCACACGCATTGGCGTCAAGGTTTGTGACACGCAGCTTCTTCGTGGGGCCCGTTGAACAAAAACATGTGGACAAGGTGGTCAAAGCATTTGGTGGTCCAAAGCTGAAGGCAGGTTATCGCCAGTTTTCATCAAAAACTCTTGAGATCGAAGATATATATATATATACATGCGCATGTGGGGAGCCCATGCGTCAGGTGTCTGAAACGTCGCGGAAATCCGTGACGGTTTCTTGGGGGAAGAATGGTGGACTCAAAGAATCGCTTGGATCTCAAAAAATCGGATTCTACATTTTGAAAGCTCAGCACTTCTTCGGGCTATGAATATATGCGAATCTAATTGGAACTGCTGTCCCCCAGCCTTGGCCATGAGTTGTTGTCCATCCCCACGATTGAACCATCGGCAAATCCTCAGGTGGCGCAAAGTCTGCGCAATTGCTGGCTGGGATCCGTTTGATGACAACAATGAGGCCGCAGGCAGGGTCAGGATATATGAGTGGCAGTGGCATTAATCATATTCGATGGTATATTTTTCATTGCATGTATGCATGCTATGGACCATGGTGACCGCTACATCATGACCATGTTAATAAAAAGAACACTGGCCATTCGCGAGGTTAAAACCTGAAGTGGCAAAGTGTGTGGAGCACAGAGGGGCATCGTGCGGTGTGGGAAAATGGTCTATGATCCCAGCCTGAGCTACTTGCAATGCACTCCATCCATGTACACTGTGGTGATGTGGATGTGCAACTAGGGCATTGTCAAAGCAAATGACCGATGCACTAAAAATCATCTTGGTTCGAATAGATAGATTTGGCCCCTTCAAGTTCCCTTGGAAAAATTGGCCCCGCTTGATAGCCGCCATGCCAAATGCTCTGAGCCTTACAGCTCACCAATGTGCTTTGCTGACGGCATGCTGTATTCCCTGGGTGGTGCCACTCGTCTGTAAATTTAATGTATACAATACCCTGAAAATCAAATGCGGGGTTTTAAGAGGCAACTAAATCCACCCCGTATTTTTTTGGAGGCGGTTTTATCTTATTATATCCGTGATTACGATGGCCTACATCAATTGCTGGAGCGATTTCCCCAGCCCTTGTGATTATAAACCCATGCTCCAGCCCCCTTACGCTTCCAGGTATCACGCCATCGACTATGTTGACCAGGTGTCGGCGCTGGAACCATTGGTGAACTCCAGAGCACCATCCTCAGCAACAGAGGTCACCAACCACGCAAGCAAGAACCAACATGAATTTTGCAAGTTCGATCTCATTAGTTTGAAGCTGTGTGGTAGGTGTCCACGATTTCCTTTTAGAAGCAAAGACATTTTGTAGCGGAGCATGCCAACATCCCGCCACTTTTTGGAACCACAGTTTTAAATCTTTTTGGGGCCAAATAAGGCTTAGAACTTTGAAAATTGAGCTTTGGAATGGCCAATCCAATAAGCAGCCAACATTGCCCATAGTCGGTGAAATTTCGATGCATGGTGTCAATCATTGTCAAAAACATGTTTATAGCTGACGGCTTCCTGCAAGTAGATGCGGGCTGGAATCATTAGCTCCCAGGACATTGACTGCCTGGATGTCTTCAGCGGCAGAGGCAGAGCAGTAAGCATGGGCTTTCGCCAAAACCTCAGCTCCACAGGCGTTCTGATGTTTGCGCTCATGTGGGTCTGATTGGCCAGGAAAAATGTTCACCACCAGCGTATACCTATATTGATTTTGCCAGCCATTTTTTGCGGGCTCTTATAATTGATCACATGGTACAAGGCCTGCTGCTAGAAAATGTTTCTGGTGTGCTGATGTTTCGATGGCCTCACCCAAAGCAAAAACTGAAATGGTCCAGGTGTCATCGGCCATGTCAAAAGATATCAAGTGACCCCCCACCACAAGCCAAACCACACATGTTCATGACACAATGTTCAAGTGGGGTGTTCGTCTCCAACAGCCGAATTCAAAAAGGGTTTTGTGCTTTTTCACCCAAGATAATCTCATCTGAGGTGCCTTTGGACGGAAGACGCCCTTACCTCAGGTGGTGGTCGAATGTTCGCTCACATTCCTAGCGAAGTAATACGCTTTTGAGAATTTGATCATGGGTCATAGGTTAATCGTGGAAGTAGCGGAATTCCTAATCTCAGAGCAGGCTGTAACGCAGGCATGGAAAATGAACAGGCCAACAAGAAATTGACCACGCGCGTAAACATACATGGCCATGGCTTGGCGTGTCCCCGTTTTATAGTTTTGTTTGGCCATGCATGGCCTTGTGTAGATTGTTTAGATCACTGACTGAGGCTGGACTTCGACATACTGACAAAGGGCTCTGACAACGACCTGACAACAACGCCTGGCGCTCATCATTGTGGCCAAATTTGTAGCCGCAGCTAGTGTTGGTTGAATTCCCAGCTTCATGTTATATTATTTTTACAGTTTCCTGTGCCCAGGAGTGGCTTTTTGAAGTTACTTCAACAGGCGCTCCGGGTCAGGCCGGACGGCCTGGGAGCATTTGGCATCCCGTGTGGATCCTACATCTTCCTGAACAGCCCAACACATAAACGGTCTGAAGACACACCATTCGGAAGATAGGATCTACCTCATGTGGCCACAGCCAATTTGTCACTACCTGAGTTGTTTGATTTTTTGTGCACAGTTGCAATTTGTGCAGCCCCAGTCCATATATATATATATATTGATTCCCGTTTAAATCTGTGACAAGCCTAGGATTGGATGCCGAACGGCGCTCATAATACTTGTGCTGATCTGCCGTGGCGTATACATATTTGTGGAACAGCCCGGATCAAGCAAGCTTTTCATGGTCCCTTACTACAAGTTCATCGAGTCCATCTGCAAAAAGTTCACCATCCCAATCTTCAAAAAGTTCTTGCCAGATACCTAGCACCTGAATTCAAGTGATTTGGTCACAAGGATACTGATACCATATATCAATTTTGTGCGACACTTTTGGTGCCAAGTTGGATGGGTTCCTATGGGCACTTTTCCATGAAGCCTTCGCGTGGCTGGGGTACAGCGTGGGTACCTCAAATGGTTGACAGCACTTTCCAGCCAAATCACGTGTGGCGTACATGTGTGTGATCTTATCTCTCTTTGCATGTGTATAAACATAAATATATTTACATGAGCCATTTGCAATGTTCCACTGGGATTTTTACTTCAATTTTTTTGGATTACGCATTTATCGATTGTCCCTTACGACATATTTACATATTTTCCCTAGACATCATGCTCAGTTTGGGCTAAGGCCATGGATACCACGTCTTTATGTCAAGATGGACGCGGCCCTGCGAGCAAAGTTGTCCAGCGAAGGGGTGACTGTAAAGAAGGTGGACCCCAAAACAGGGAAAAAAACCGTGTCAGTTTCTCAGTTGAAATGCCAAGCGTGGCTATAGCTGCATACCTGTGATACCAATGCTGTTCAAATATACCTTCAGCATGGCCAATTAAAAACCATAATCGATAGCCTGCTGCATCTATGAGGAGTGGCGGAAAGCGTTTGAAGGAGACGGAGCAATATCCGCCCGGCTTCGGGAGATCACTCGCTATTCGCCATGTTTATGGGAAGGACAGGTGGGGTGGTCAAGCCATAATATATTGGGTTAATCACAGCTCATGAGACCATGGTGCCTATATGTGCCTATATTTTCTCAAAAGCTCATCCCAAAGACAGTTTACAGCAGCAGCTAATGTTTTCGCAAGTTTTCTCATGCTTGCTCATACTTCCACACGGTTATAGCTTTTTTTTGAGGTCTTCGAGGTTCTTCTTGAAGGTCCTCGCACTTATTATAAGACATTGCTCACAGTTGCTTACGCTTGCTATGTTCCGACTGGGAGGATCTGAAAAAATCATTGCTCCGAAGCACTTTGAAGATAGCAGAAAGCAATCTGCCATCAATGGACGAGGCTTTGGTGACCTGGGGTTGGGGATGGGGTATTTTGTGCTTTGTTTAAATATATATCAAAAAGCCAAGGGTATTCAAGAGTGATGTTCTACTGAAAGCTATTTCCTATAGTTGTAATAATGAACATGACCAAAATTGAAAGCCCTGGGCTGTTTCGGGCAAACCCTATGACCCCCCTGGGGTTGTGGATTGGGTGTTTTGGGCTGCTGATGATTTGTTTTTCCGTTTTCAACTATCTGGCAATGCTGTTCTACGGGAAACTGGTCAACATCCCAAATCTGAACCAATCTCTGGCGGTATAAACATATCATTCCCAATTCATATAGATTCAACAGGCCACATGAATCTAAAAAATATTGTCTGTGGTACCACACTCATAGGTTGTGTTGATTTCAAAAAAAATTGCTTAATGCTAATATATAGATACGCCTCCATGCCTGAGACAACTTCCTTTTGCTAGGCCATGGAAGCGCCATTCAATTGGGGCCACGCTGAGCTGGAGGACATCAGATTGTTTTTGAAGGAGCAAGCAAAGCTTGGCGTTTGGCAGCCCAAAACCAATTTTGGGTTGTGACCCTTTTACCCAATGTTTCAATCTAGCACATATGTTTGCCTTCAAACAGTTGTTGTTGCAACTGAAATTCATCAGTGCATAGCACCATGGCATGCACACCTTGGCATTCTGAACGGTCCAGGTTAAAAAAGGATCCACTTGCATGCATTGATTTGATGACTTGTGACCTCACGTGAGCAAGCGTGAGCAACCGTGAGCAATCGTGAGCAACCGTGAGCAAGCGTGAGCAGTGTCTATGTAAGACCTCAAAAAGAACCTCGGAGACCTCAAAAAGAACCTCGGAGACCTCAAAAAGAACCTCGGAGACCCCAAAAAGAACCTCGGAAATTTAACAAAGCGTGAGCAAGCGTGAGCAAGCGTGAGCAATGCATTTTTGATGTCTCAGCCCATCTCAGATCAAAACACTTTGGGCTTTGGGCCCTGGATGTCATGGATCCTGTGCTGAAGCAAGCGCTGGAGAAATCCAAGAGTGCCCGTGAAAAGCTTCTTGCGCGCACTTCTCCCCCTACTGTAGCGCGGGAACCTTGGGTAGACCTATGCTTTCAAGACATTTCAAGACAAGACAACATTTAAAGGACACAAAGGATTGCTTCGCATTAAAGCACTTACTGTCCAGGTCAGATACACAGACTACAGCTTCAATGACTCTCCCAGGCAAGAATTTTTTGTGACAATATGATGTCTCTAGATATTCACCTTAAGGCCCATGTTGTTTTCGTAATCATCCCCATCTATATATATACAAGGTGAAAGTCAAGACCTCGAAGCTAAGCCTGCTGACCTTTCGCATGGAAAGGGAAAGGGGAAGAAAACACCACCCAGTCGAAGCACCAAGAAGGAAAAGAAAGATACCAAGGTCTCCAGAAAGAAGTCGTCCGGATCCAAAAAAAAGCCGTCCGGACCCAAAAAATCCAAAAGATCCACAAAGAAGCCAAAGTCAGGCACCAAAGTCAAGAAGCCAACCAAGGAGAAAAGTGGAAAGAAACAAAAGGGGCCAGCCAGGAGCCTTGCAAAGGAGCTAGCAGCGGTGGCTAGCCCTCAAGCCTCTGTAGCTTTGGCAGACACGCAGTTGGACAAGAGCGATACCCGAGATGATATCAACCCCGATGATGTACTTGCAGTGGTTGAATGGACTAATGGCTTGTGGCAAAGTACCATGAAGAAGCTCATGGCCAATGAAAATCATGAAGACTATGTCATCGTCGATGTCAGCGGTTATTGGTTAACCTTCAAAAATCATATGTGCGACTTGAGTCACGATGTCTTAGTATCGGACTTTCCACTGATAATTATGAGGAACCCCACCGCAGCAAAGGGACTGTCAAAAATCGTCATAAAAAAAGAAAAGGTTGCCGCAGAAGAAGATGGCAAGAAGATTGAAGAAGCTTTCAAAAAGAGGCTGGCAGAAAAGGAGGCTGCAGAAGAGAAGAGGATCGAAGAGGAGAAGTTCAGAGCCGAACAAAAGGCTGCAGAAGAAAAGAGGATTGAAGAAGCTGTTCAAAAAAGGCTGGCGGAACACAGAGCCGCTGAAGAGAAGAGGATCGCAGAGGAGAAGATCAAGGCTGAACAGAAAGCCGCTGAAGAGAAGAGGATCGAAGAGCAGAAGATCATAGCTGAACAGAAAGCCGCTGAAGAGAAGAAGATCGAAGAGCAGAAGATCATGGCTGAACAGAAAGCCGCTGAAGAGAAGAAGATCGAAGAGCAGAAGATCATAGCTGAACAGAAAGCCACTGAAGAGAAGAGGATCGCAGAGCAGAAGATCATAGCTGAACAGAAAGCCGCTGAAGAGAAGAGGATTGAAGAGGAGAAGATCAAGGCTGAACAGAGAGCCGCTGAAGAGAAGAGGATTGAAGAGGAGAAGATCAAGAAAGCCGCTGAAGAGAAGAGGATTGAAGAGGAGAAGATCAAGAAAGCCGCTGAAGAGAAGAGGATTGAAGAGGAGAAGATCAAGGCTGAACAGAAAGCCGCTGAGGAGAAGAGGATCGAAGAGCAGAAGATCATGGCTGAGCAGGAAGCCGCTGAAGAGAAGAAGATCGAAGAGCAGAAGATCATGGCTGAGCAGAAAGCCGCTGAAGAGAAGAGGATCGAAGAGCAGAAGATCATGGCTGAAGAGAAGGCAGCTGATCAGAGGAGGATCGAAGAAACAGAGATGGCCATCACTGAAGAGAAGGCAGATGAAGAGAGGAAAAGTGAAGAGGAGAAGATGGAGCTTGAAAGGAAGGCGGCTGAAGAGAGAAGGATTGAAGAAGCAGTTCAGAAAAAGCTGGCAGAGATGGAACTCAGAAAGGCAGTTGAACAGAACCTTCTCAGGGCAGCTACTCAAGATTTGCCCTCAGCTCCTGCTACCCCAATGAGGAAAGATCCCGCTGGGGAATTGAATGGTGTTTCCGAGCCAGGACCTGGGGAGGAAAAAGCGCGGAAGGAACAACAGGAAGTCTTGGAAAGGAAGAAAAAAAGACATGCTCAGTGGGTGAAATTCATGAGAAGCCTGAACAGCCCCACCCTCATCTTTTGTTTTTTTTTGGCAGGACTTACATATAATGGCAAACCATGTGCTCCTTTTAGGTTCAGCTCGAAAGACACCACCGGAAGTTAAGAAGTTGGGTGAAAAGGCCATTGCAGAAAAAGAGGAAACTGGCATCTAGGACGCAAGAATAGAACACAACAATCACACCAAAACTAAAAGTATACGTCACGTTAGAATTAAATTGCATCAAAAGGATGTATGCATGCATTTAAGCATAGGCAGGATGCCCCCTAGCACGCTATGCACACTCATCATGGATGTTGAGGCGACAACAACCCTCTCAATGACCTCTTCGAGCAATGGCTTGCAGCGGACGAAGACTGGCGCAAGACCCGTGTGTATGCCAGAATGACCAACAACACCGGTCACATTGACAGTGATATGAGAGAATGGATTACTCTTACTGAAATGATGACCAAAATGGGAACAAGCGCAGCTGAAGCTATGGCCGCTATCATGGAAACAACAAAGCCCGAGCACTGTCGTGATCACCCCGATGCTCCCGGTGTCAAGGACCCACACACACACACATGCATATATACGACTATAAAGATAATGTTTCTAAAACTTTTACCCGTTTTCCTTTCAGCTTCGCAGGAATGCAGGCAGTACAAGGTGTTGGTCAAAGATGCTTCGGAAAATCGAAAGGAGGACTGGGTGTCTAAGGTTATGGAATGTGGGGATGACTCCTCCTCATCGAGTTCTGAAGCTGACCAAAAGCCGGGGAAGGTGCGCAGCTATGCATATCGCTACGTTGGGCATTTCTTTTTGGGGAGCGCTAGTCTATGAGCATGGTTATTCTTATCGTTGATTAGTGTCAACCCAGGATCAATAAACCATCCGTTTTGGTGAAAAAAATGGACCCATCTTGGTAGCCCATGATCAATTTTATTAATGCGTGCTGGACACACAAACATGGACGAGCTAAATTTAGACCATGGCATTCTTGTCACATGGCTTACCCACCCATTGCATGGTCTTGTGCTGCCATCAACTTCCCATGCAAGCCCATAGTTCTAGCTCCATCACATTATAATTCATTGGCACAACGCCATGACGACGAGATTCGAACGCATTCAGAATTTCTTGAAAGAGGCGAAGGACCACCGACTGTGTGTTTCATGCTGGGCCCAAGTGCTGATAAACTATGGCCTGCTTGACGAGCTACTTGTCTTCAATCCCGGTTTGGTTCTATCATTTTCAAAATTTTAAAGATTCACCGCCCACCCTCATCGAAATTTTACAAAGATATGCACGGCATATGTTTATCTTGTTGCCATCCCAGGCAATCCAGCGCCCGGCTGCTCATGGTGTCTAAAGATTGCTGGTGTGAAGATGAGAGCATTCGCGCACAAGAGCAAGATCATGCGAGACCACCAACTACTGTGTGTGCTAGCCAGCTGCAGCTGGAAAATTTAAATGCGCAGTGAAAGGCTGTGCGGGATAATTCATGGTCATATATACTGGATGGTGTCACAAACGTTTGTTAAAACGCATTGGCGTGGCTTGATACCAAGAGACATGCAATGACTTGGCCAAAATTTGCCCACAGCTGCTCATCCAGCCAAGTTGCCATGCCCCTGCTGAGAGACCATAACATCATCAGTGCCGGAGTCATCCTGAGAATAGTCCAGTGGGAATTCATTGATCTGTTTTGCTTTAGGCGAAACGAAAATCATTGATGAATTAGCACCGGTCAGTGCGTGTTTCAATCCATCTCATGCATGATTTGTCCAAATTTTAGCGACACATGAAGGCCCAAAAGACAAAGGAGAAAAAGCAGCGACCCAAGAATTTCGAATCCAAAGTCGATCAGGCTTGGTATGGGTCATTGAATTTCAAGTTTTGCTTTGGAAAGCGAAGCCAAAATCGATCGCCATAAATCTGTTATGGTTGAAAAACAGCGTTGACCCGGTCCAAGTTTTGCATCATCAAAATGGACATCCGCAGGTAAAACATGAAGGTCATGATGCGGGTGGTTTAGAAAAATGCAGGCTGTCAAGAAAGCCGACAAGAAGCTGACGGAAGCCGCTGGTGTGGACTTCTCTGGGGTCTTGTTCCTTGCCCCATGGTGGATAAACACGGGGTAAAAATCTAGATGGATTTAACAACCATGGCCGCATGTGGATCAAGAAAGTGGCATCCATGTGCATTCATTTATCAACAGTTTAGAAATTATATTCCAGGTAATCGTCATCAAAAACCACGATCATTTTATAGTATCCCTGGTTTGTGTCACCTGTGGGTTTTGAAACATGGTCTTTTGGGTTTTCAATGATGGTTACCGTTGGCCAAGATTACGTTTCGATTCTGAATCAAATTTCAACTTGGGACCCATGTGGCCCTACTGGGGAAACCCTTTTGGTTTCAACACTGTGGCGCCAAACATGTTCTCAGGAATGGGACCATCAAGGCGGCCATGGAAGAGGAAATGGACAAAATGATTGACATTGTCAAGGATCGAAAGGCCACGTTGGTGTCGATGAACTTGAAGGAGGCTTGGGGTCCTCGGCTCCGGTTTTCACGGAAAATTCCATGGAAGCATCACAGTAATTGCCACCACCTTTATCGCTCTAATCACCATCATCAGCACCATCATCGAGATCATCACCATCATCGAGATCATCATCATCATCAGCATCATCTTTTTCATGATCCTCATGATCATATATCGTATCACCACCATCAAGGCCATACCATGATATCATCTCATTATTTTGAACCCCACTGGTAGGAATAAGACTGATGTGGTAGATGATGATTTGTTATTATTACAAGAACCAGTGTCGTGTAGAAATCGGTACCACGATCGTGGGTCAAGCCGTAATACGTACAGATAGCCTATTCCCCATTACTGGTCATCATCCCCAGGACCCACCTTCCATAGAACAAATCATGATTGATAAGGCACTATGTTGGTTACTGATATAACCACTGATCATGATAGCCAGGCGCCACCTTCATCAATCACGATGGCATGGCGAAATGAAATGCTTCCTGGTCATCACCCATGACTCAGCATCAAAAAAGTTTATCACCAACAATCCAATCCAAACGATGCTAACCACCAGCATTAGTACCGTGTTGGTAGCCATGGCACATGTCATGAAAAGCCCACCAAACAATTTGGATGTGGAATTGGTTGCATGTCAATTTCAACCTTCACCCTATGGCTAGCATTGGCCCAGGCTGAAGATGCTTCCGTGGAAGCAAGTCTTACGTCTTTGAATGAAGCTGTGTCTAGCCTTGGGGATTTGACAAAGTCAACTCCCAAACGGAAGGCCGATCCCAAAGCCAAAGGGGCCAAGGATAAGAAAAAGCCTAAAAAGGGTTGAGATATGGTTCAATTTTTGGGGCATTGCACTGGCTTCTCACAAGAACATGCTTGAGTAAATCATGTAGCTTGCTTGCAAACAAGGTGCTCCCACAATCAGGTTGCAATGGTTCCAGAATGCTCGACTGTGAGCACCAGTGCGCGTAGCTGCTGTGCTGTGCCTGGGGCGGTGCCATGGGAATGCACCGGCTGTTGTGGCACTTTTGAACACGGCATCAAAGGAACGTGATTTCAGGTTTCAAAATCTTAGCATGGCCCAGGGTATGCGAGATCTGAGGGATCATGACCCTGAAGGCTTCGAGAACAAAATCGATGGAGGACTTGTGCAAAATGAGCAATGGGAGCTGGGAAGCCGAACCAGAAATAGATAGTGTAAGGTGGGATATTATACCTTTTTATTCCGTTCATTCCTCTGGATCCCTTTAAGTGTATATATATATCAATGACTAGTGCACTGCTTTTTTTTGTGCGCTACCCAAAAAAGAAGGGTGTTCCATCAAAATCTGAACATGTAGTATTATTACATGATTTGTCACATTGTTTCGGGCCATACCCAAATGCTCGCCATTGGCGGCCCCATTGTATATACCGGGGGTACTGGTGCTGGTCGTTTCATTCCGAATGACCAACCTAATTTTAACATCGCATTCTAGCACCATGTGTCTTTGCCGATTCATTGGCCCCATGTTTTCCACAATGAACGTACAGACCTTCAGCCATGACCATGACCAGCATCTGATTCCGTAAAAAATAAGATTGCGAATCTACCCCTTCCACACCAGCCAGTTCCAGTAGCCTCTGGTTTCCCGTGGCCATTCGTGCTTTGCCAGGTGATGATGGTCACCGAGATTCACCTAGCCGAAAGGCTCTCTTTATCAACATGGTGTCTGAAATTGGAGATGGCGTGGGGTTCCCCAGCTAAAAGTCAGTGATGGGACAAGTCACAACATATGTTGAGCCTAAATTGTGGCAATGCTCCAAAACCCGTGGTCAATGCTGGATATATACGGTTTTCCCCCTGTATGCCGTTTATTTTGGATGGTACTTGGGTGGCAAGGTTTTGGAACCATAGCCCTGTCCTTTCAACCTTGCTTTGTTTCCCCTTGAGGCATCGAGCCTCACGAAAGAAATGCGAACTGCAGCAGCTGCTTGTAAGGAGTGCCCATTGCATGGTGAGGGCGGCAAGTGTCCGACTAGGCTGATCATGTGTCCTTAAGATTCCCTGTTTAACCTTGAAATTATCGATCATCTAGAAAAACATCGGGCTTCAAGTAAGATGGACCCCACAAATTTAAGCAGCTAAAACGCAACACCATAAAATCAAGATTCTTTGCCTTTTAAAAGTCATCTCATCCAAGCCGGTTCATGTGCCTAGAAAAAAGCCCCAGATCCCGATATATATATATATATATACGGGCACACCCTATGATAAGCTATTAGTCGCGAACGTAAAATATAACCGCGCTGTATACGCCTTTGCTTGCCGTTATCAGCACGCGCAGGAGTCTGGGAATTCTTTGTCTGCTGCAACTGTCAAGCTGGGCAACTACTCCAAATGGAATCGAACCCGTGACTTCATCAGAAATGTCCCACAGCCACTGGACAGATTGATCGGGTTGGGAGTGTGGTTGGGTAACCTTAGCTTATACTCTTGTCTAGTTGGTGAACTTTTTTCTTTATAATTTGGGACCTTCGATTTGCAGCACAGTCCCTGACAGGACATGTCTTGGATTGAGTGCCCGTTGCAATCTGGGAGAGAATCCACCAAGGAGTACAAACACGTACAAGTGCCTATGTTTGATCCGGGTGCAATACTGCGATATTTGTTTGATGAAATAGATTTGGAGATTCCAACTGACAAGATTCAAGAGTATTGGGTGCAAGCAGCTAATGCAGGCTGTCCATGGGCCCAACGCGAGTTGAATGAATCTGGCCTTTCAGACTTTCGCATACCAGTGAAGCTTTTTGGGGACGATTGTGTCTATGATGAGCGGTTGACCAAAGCCTATGGTATCTACATGTCTTTGCCTTTGTGGAGGCCACATTCAGCCAGAAATTCTCGTTTTCTGATTTGGGCGCAAAAATCAACGCAATTTGCAGGATTTGAAGGGTTGCTGCCCTTACTGGGCCGCATGGCGTGGTCCCTCAACCAAGTCTACGATCACAAATTGGAAAAAAGTGGTCATCGCTTTTGCGTTACAGAAATTGGTGGTGACTGGTCTTGGAATCGTTTTTTTTGGCAAATGGACCGTCATTGGAATGGGATTCGGCCTTGCCCTTTTTGCAACGTCGAAAAGTTTGGACACCAGTCCTATGCAAAGCTCGACGACATTTCCTGGATTCCAAACATCCGTTTTGTGAATGACATTGTCGGCAGTGGCTTAACCAAACGTGTGAACCCGCTCATCCTGCTTCGGAATTTTGATGTGAGTTTGATCCAACCTTGCCAACTTCACAACTTGAACCTGGGATTGCTCTGGACGTCAAATGGTGCTGCAGTAGCAACTTTTGGGGAGATGGGCTTCTGGGGCGACCCGAATTTGAGCTTGGCTCTCATTGTAGAGAATGCTTGGGATGACTTTCGTCTTTTCTTGAAGGAAGAGAGGCGACACTGTTCACAATGCAAGTTCACAATCAAGATGATTTTCAAGCAGAACCACGGGGCTTACTTTAGTGCAAAGGGCCACAACTCAAGAGTTTTGGCTGATTGGTTGGCGGATTGCGCCGAGCGCGCCTGGGGTCGGAATTTTGATGGACCCAGAATTTTTGGGAAATGGTTGCAGGGACACCCACAAAGACTTCAAGCAGCGCTTCATGATCAGCAGTTGCCCCATTTGTGCTTGGCTTTGACGCCTGGCTTACCTTGGGCCATTTTGGTTAGCACCAGTTCCAAAGCTAGCTGAAATCATTTTTGTGAAACTCACGCGTGCCGTTTTTTCTTCATGATCAACCATTTGACTGTCAGGATTTCTATCTCGCGCTATATGGCTTTGAGTGATCGCTGCCCTCGCTTCCTGTGCCTAGGCAGCATATTATGGGATCTGAGGCACCTAGTATCAACCCAAAACTAGTGCTGGTATATCGGTGGGTTCCCTGGTACACAAATGCCGGTATATATAGGAACATTGTGATATTGGTGTGACTGAACGCATCCCTGGGTGCAACCAATCTTTGTCACTGCCATGATGCTAACTCGTTCACAGCTTGAGGACTGAGCGACAAGCAGCTGAACTTTGCGACCTGGGTCATGGCTACCTGCATTCTCACAGAATACTCAACCACATCTCAATGAGGAGAGATTTGAAGGGTGAATGTCAGCCCTACATTACTCAAATTCTGGGTTTCGAAACCCATTATGTTTGAAGATGCCGTTCATTCACACAATATATAGCGTCTACATGACAATGATTTAAAAAAGGGATACCAAGTGCCAAGTGAACCACAATTATCTTGGATCAAAGATAATTGTCAGGGGATCAATATTCTTGAGCCAGACCATATACCACACACATATATATATATATTCAAGGGTTGGACTATCTTGGGTTATCCAGCTACCTTTTCGTCCAGGGTCTTATAGCTGATGCAGGTTCCATCATATTTTCTTACCCTAAAAGTCCAAAGACCTTAAAAGCAAGGTCCCAGCCGAGAAGACTGTGGGTAATCAATCTTGACTCTCTGTTTGATTATGAATGTTCTTCTGGCCTGTTCAAAGACAGCTGGCAGGATGCGTCGCAGAAGGTGGCTGATCAAGCCTAAATTTCATGTTTCTTGGCTTTATATGTGAACCTATGATATAGGTCAGTGCAAATGTCTGTACGCTTGTGTCAATTTCTAGTTGTGGGGTCAGCCGGTCAGCCTCAATTCTGTTCAGGCTTGGCAAGAACAGCTCAAAAGATCCAAGGTGTGGAGAGACTTGGGCCTAACCAAGGTGTGTTTTTGACTTATTTTACCATTAGTCCCCAGGCAGCCTTACCCGGGAAGTTCCGATCAATGGCCATTTCAGGAACCTAAACTGGAGGTTCCAAATATAGGGCTTATGTAAGGCCAATGTATATGAGGGAGTATCCCCACAAAATATGGCCTTATATACGGTATACCGTACCGGACAGTACCTCCATTTTAGGATCCCAAAATTCCCATTGATCCGACCTAGGATTCAATGCCCGCTACACTGCCGGCTGGATAGACGAAGACGCTATGGGTCTTCTAAAACGTTTTGCTCGCAAAGCGAGCTCCAAAGGTTTCAGTGCGGGAGTGTTGAGACTGGCTGGTTATCGGCTTATGGCCCTCAAATATAGGGTCAAAGGGCTGAACAACCAAGCCCGAAAGCGCAAACAGTGAGGGTGAAAGAAAATATCAGCTGGACATGGAAAGGGGCCAACGTTTTTTTTTGAACTTTGATCACCACTTATAGGGTTACTCGGCATTACTCGGCATTACTCGGCTATAGATTCCTCGGAATTCTCGGCGAAGTACCTTTTCAGGTCCTCTCGGCGGGGACCTTGCTTTTTGAGGTCTTTGGACTTTTAGGGTTATATATATATATTATATTTATAGATTTATATATACACACACTTGCACAGGCTCATGCTCGTACAGATAGACACAGGCACGCAAGTGTTTCGTGAACAACTACGTCAGACACCGCTATGCACCAGAATGAGACGGAGTAAAGGATGTAAAGGATGTAAAGGATGTAAAGGATGTAAAGGATGTAAAGGATGTAAAGGATGTAAAGGATGTAAAGGATGTAAAGGATGTAAAGGATGTAAAGGATGTAAAGGCGCAGATGAGTTTGTCCATTGCGCAAGACGGATACAGACACCTGAGCAGCTGTGACATCTCAGGAATCAGTATGTGCACCATAAGCAGATCAACACGTCAATGAGTGTGAAGATTTCGGTCCCCGGCCTAGAGGATGCTATGCCTGGCACTCAATTGCTTGTGCCTTGGCTTGTCAGGAGGATCATAGAAGTGAAGAGGCTGCATAATGTAAACTCGTGTAATCAATATGATTCAATATGCAAGTAAGTCTCATCAATTATTATCAACTATCACCAGTATTCAGCAGTTTCGTATCATCAATTATCATTAGTTATCAATCATCAATTATCATCATACCTCATAGATTCTCAGATATTCTCAGTATCTCATTGTTCCCACATGTTGCGTGCTGCTCTTCACCTCTTCGCTGCTAGGTTTGTGGCCCCGATGACGACCTTGAAGAGCTCAAAGAGGAAGTGGGTAGAGGTATCGATGCTTGACATAACCTGCACAAATATTGATCATATTGGCATCAAAGACAAGAAGCATACAATACGCGATCACGATGATCACAACACTGCTGCGATGTCACAATATGCATCAATATGTTACAATTACAACACCATTTGAAAGCGAGTCTGACTTCTTTGACCCTCATGAGACCCTCAGTTAAATGGCACCAATCTGAGGAATGCATCCTGAATGGCTTTGAGAAAGAAGCAGCTGGCGTTTACGTCAAGGCCAGCACTCTGGGCTCTTTGGAGGCTTTGCTTGAATTTCTGCAGCAAGAGAAGATTAAGATCCCCGTTTTCGATGTGGGAATCGGTGAAGTTCGCAAAAAGGACGTCACGAAGGCTTGCATCATGAAGGAGAAGCATCCAGAATATGCCATGATCTTGGCATTTGATGTCAAGGTGAATCAGGAAGCCCAGAAGGAGGCAGATACTAATGGTGTGACCATTTTCAGCTCGGACATTATCTTCCATTTGCGGGACAAGATCACAACGCACATGGAGAAGTTCCGAGAAGCACAGAAGGCTGAGTCACGCAAAGCCGTTGTCTTCCCTGCTGAGCTGCAGATTGACAAGCAGAACATTTTCCGGAAGCAGGATCCAATCCTTCTGAGATGTGAGGTGCTTCGTGGTCAGATCCGGGTCGGAACACCGATATGCGCCCCCGACAAAGACAATCTGCTGATAGGTTATGTGGCTAGCATCCAGAACAACAACGGGAAATTAGTTACAGTGGCTCGCCAAGGAGACATTGTATGTGTAAAGATCGAACAGAACGAAGCTCAAAAACACATCATGTACGGACGGCACTTTGATCACACCAACAAGTTGTGTTCCAAGATCACCAGGCAGAGCATTGACGCTTTGAAGCAACATTTCAGGGATGAGATGAGAGAGGATGACTGGCAGCTGGTGGTGAAATTGAAGAACGTCTTCAAGATCAAGTCTAAATGAGTGTGGGAGAGTGTAGGAGCGAGGACTAGGTCTCATTCTGTCTCGTTGATGCTTTGTTTATCTTTGTTTGGCAGCTGGTAGTCGCACCCAACTGTGGCTACTGACACTTGATAGGTCCCATGCATCCCTCTTAACTTTGACAAAGTGCATGTTTACTGGTTTACTTATGTTGATTTGTGCATGTAATAGGATGTAATAAGGATTATTTGGGTTAGACAGCTAAACAGGCTAAACACATTTCAAGATGATGACAGATGTCGAAAGAGCCACTGTTGCGATGTTTTTCGGCACCGGGTTGTAAGACTTGCACGGCCTCGTGCGGCTTGTACAGATAGCATAGCTGAAGCACGCAGAAGCCGTGAAGCTGCCGGTGAAAGGAGTCGACACTTGGGACCGGATCCCAAGTGAGACAACATGTTCATATGGGTTTGTCTGAAAATAGGGTATATTCCCAATTATAGCCATTTAATAGGGATAATGATCATATATGATCATTAACCATTGGGTTTAGGGGTACACTATTTTCAGACACACCCATGTTTTAGTTCCCAACCGCCATAACCACCTTTATTTGCACAAATGTACAGGAGTCTCTGGGTGGGAGTACTTACCTTCTGCTGCCCCAGACTTGCAAAACGAGGTGGGGAAGCCTCGCAAAAACGAGGTCAACCGACGTTGAAGAACTATATTAAAAAGAGTGCGACATTGAAAGAGGATCTTAATACATGTCAATGCGTCGAAGCACACAGCAATGTAAAAACAAGGCAGGGGTGCCTTGTCTTTGGCAGTGCGCACACGCACAAACAGGAGCTCCGCTAGTCAAACTGAACCTATCCTTAATCCTGGGACCTCTGCAGTGCTCCAATGACTTTTTCCCTCCTCATCTTGGCATATTTCAAGTCGCATCAGCCCCAAACTCCTAAATAATCATAAATATTCGTAAATAATCTAAATATTAATAAAATATCATGCAAATAGGAACAACTCGAAGTGGTCACTGTAAATTTAGGTGCAATAGTTTTGGCTTATATCTTTGCGGACCATCGGAAGGATGAAGTCAGAAGAGTTTGCGCGGCTGCGAGTTGAACAGGCTGAAGCTGCTTTATTTTGGTAAAGTCAGTCTGTGGCACGATAAGATGATCAATGTCTTTCAGGTCAGCAATAGCCACTAGAAGGACAACCCTGAACAATGCCCTTACTTTTGCACTCGTCAGGTTTCTTACCACCTCCCCCAGAAATTGACCAGACCCAGAATCGATAATCTGATGCACCTGGTGCTCTTGGAACTGTTCTTCATTTCTCCAAAGCGAAAAAGAACTGCAAAAATGACAAACCCTCAAGATCCCTCAAAGAAGGCCCGATGCTGCGAGCAGTACAGGTAAGTTGAATGAGTCGCCATCCGGATGTTAAGGAATCACTTCACAAGGGCATTCCGCCTGGACATCTGCCCTTTTTTGGATCAACCTGCTGGTGTAGAACCCATGGCCAGAATGCCCCGCAGAGATTTGCCCGCCATGAGTCATTAGCGACAAATTGGCGACAACCGATCGGCCACACATGTGACTGGTGGGCCCCTGCAACAGCTACGAGCTACCAGGGCAGAGCAGACTTCTAGCGGGGTCAGAAAATGCCAATAATATCAATTGACACATTCAACACCTGGAAGGATTGAAATTACTTAATGTCTTAATGTAGAAAGTGAAGAAGCTCAAACTTTTGCCAATCGATATTACACTCTGTGCTTTGCATTGCTTTGCTACATATAAGTTTAGGATGTTTCCAGGTAGGCCTCACAGCTCTCACAGCGCACAACACACTAGTCCAACGCGGATGGAGCCAATAGTCGACCACTGGCTAGATGGTTTTGGCTTCAACCAGGACTCTGGTAGCATGTGATATATGTGATATGGCACTCTCACAGCGACAGCAGTTTCCTTGTTTCTTGGATTTTCTTGGATTCTTGTGGTATTGGTGACGCCTCCAGGTTGAGGGTGCCAAACTTTTCATCCATAGGGCCATAGGGCTGCAAACCAAGCTTCGCCACGTTGCAACAAACCTGCAGGAGGATAACATGTGCTTTCCCAGGACGCCCAAAGAAAGGGTCCGAAGCTGGGAAGTAACAGCTTATGGAAGTGTTTGGACAGTAGGTGTCTTCGAATGCCCAAAAAGGCTTGTACTTGTAGCAGGCTAGAAGTGAACATGTTGTCCGAGTTTGAACAGCGAAACCAACAGAATCAGAGCTTCAAGTTGTGTAACACTGAACAATAGATTACTATACAATACAATAATTTAATACAGAATATAGTTTCCTGGTCCAGGTCCAGAAAGTTGCTGAAGTGTATGTGCACTTGGAGGACGACGTCAGGCTCTCAAGTGCCAGTTGCAAAGAGAGTGGAAACAACTGCCGCAAGGGTCAGGGACAAGGCAACATTGAGATGTCGATGAACATTGATGAGCATTCATCATTTCGGAGTCAATAGTGGTTGACTAGCAGTGAAAAACCTGCAACCAAGGCTCGGGTTCTTGTTTGCCGGCGACGAGTTTTTGCCAATCGCGTAGTCAGACTATGGGTGCAGGACATGCAGCGCAAACGCTATGTTTTCAATTGGTTTCATGATCGCATGATGTTTGTAAATTGGACATCTTGAATTTTGTTGCCCAAAGGAACTTTGTTGTCCAGAGCCACTACCGATTGCTAGTACAAGGAGGGTATGCTAAGCCCCGCTAAGCCGTGTTTTGGTCAGATTTCACTTCGAACTTGATAGGACGAACCAGAACGCCTTGGGATCCAAATCTGTGCTCGTGATGAGGCGTTTGCGTTTCGAAGAAAGCCTGGTCTTGGGGTGAAGATGTTCATTGCGTCGAATCTTTATCTTAAAAGGGTTCATCAGAAGCCAACAGGGCTTAAATGGTGAGATACCAGCAGAGTGTACGACAATTTATCCGCTTGGTGTTTGCAATGCAGCTCGCCAGCGGCAAGCTGCAGGCTTTTGGCGGATCTGGTCAGCTATTCATTTCTGATGAGAATTTGACATCACCTCAGTTCTTTACATGTGAGGCGAATGCTGCAAGGGTATATTAACGGTATATTGCAGTCTCGGAAGATCCAGTGGGTTTTGCACTTTCACAGCTTTGTGTGTGGGACTTGTGTCAGACATTTGTGTTCATGCCTTCACCAATTTGATCTAAGGCGGCACGCATATCGTCACTTTGCTCGGGGACGCCTAGGTGCATTTCACAGTGCTTCACGTTTACGTTTTTGTTCCACCACAATATGGAGCAGTGACCGCATCAAACATTCTTTCACCACCTAGGTGGCTTTGGCGCTGATATGGCCGGACAAGGTTGCTCAGTGCAGGCAAAACTGCATCCAAATATTAGGGATTGTAAGGGACATGTGAAAGAGGTAGACCTTGACTTTTGATCATTTTGACGATCTGATTCAAGTCCGAGCCCATGGGATTTCAGAATATGTCAAAGACTCCTACTCGTACAAATCACTTGCAACTCGTCTGTCAAAGGCCTATCCACCTGTTTGCATGACTCCGCTCATGGAGGCAGGAGCATTTCAACTCCAGAAATGTCGTGCCCTCCATGAACCATCAGCTATCCTGAATAGCGTTGATTGATCCTTCCGTGATATGAAGGCAAAGATGCATAAAGGTGCCATATTTGAACATATTTGAACATATTTGAACACATTTTTTCAGTGGCAGGTAGCCCTGACTGAGGAATTGGTTTGGGAGCCCAGATTCTGGCAGAGGGGATGGAGTCTGATGGTTTGAACATCACACCGTCGAATTCAATCGGGGGGCTGTGGAATGCCAACGCGCCATGGTGATGATGGGAAGCAAGTGAATTGTGGGTAATTTTCGAGGACACGAGGACTGTAAAGGTACAACATGGTACAACTATTTTTTCAAGACAATGGAAAGTCTTGCTATCTTGGTGAAACTAGCAAGTCGCTGGCACACAGTCGTGGCTGCCCAGGTTGCAAGCCTTCTGGATGCCGTTTGTTTCGAGGCGGAAGTAGAATTGGAAAGTTGGTGTTGGTTGCAGATGCAAGCAGGGTTCATCATCAAGGTTACTGCATTGTTGTTTTATTATGTTGCTTTGACATGTTTTGACGTGTTCTTTCGTTGCTTGTTAAGCGTCCAAGAAGTCACGGATCATTTGAATCACAGAGTGTTTTTGTACTCAATGAGTGTTGGATGTTTTGTGAAAGACCTCCCTTTCAACCTGCTCGCAGGTGAATAGCTTTGGAGATGAATGGTCTGCCTGACATGCTTAACTTTTTTTTTTATTCTTTTGTGGGATCTTCTGTTCTCAATGTCGGACATGACCGCGATGTCACCAAATAACTCTAGGAATCCCAAAAGTTGTGGTGGCAGCAGAAACGGACAGAGGCCACGCTGTACATTTCCTCGCAAATGGGCCTGGAAGGTTTATCTATCTTCCCGGCTTTGGCAAAGCGAGAGCAGAGGCAGAACCTGCAAAACACTTGTCATGCAGACATGTAGCCCAATTGAAAATCGAACAAACATATATAATCATATATATATATTTAATATGGGGTTTAAAGTTTTACTTGTAAGTTTTAAATAGGCCAAAGCATGATGTGAATCTGACATCTCTCGCACACCCAGCATATTATAAAGGTGCCTTGTGATCATACTTGAGAAGTGCGTGTAGTGGCGCGTGGATCAGACTCTTGACATCGGTTGACTAAAAATCTGTTATACACAATCATTTTTCCTTCCATGTGGGTTTGTGAAGCAATAGGGGATTGACCCCCAAGTTGTGGCAATAAACGGGAAAATAGTGAAATCATTTCCTGTATATTCATTTATCATTTAAAGGATCACATATTTATCATATTGTCAATTTTTTTTGGTACCAATTTTTGGAACAAACCCATGACCGCGTTTGTGCCAGGTTCCACAGGGCCCAGCGATGCGCGTGGCCTCGCAAAGCTCAGGAGGGAGCCATGATCATCGACTGATCGGCTGGTTCGCACAGTTAATGTGGTCAACCCAAGGCCATAAAACCATCATAATGACCATCATAACATATCACCAACTAACTATTTGGAGTTCACTGAGTTCACTAACTACTCATTTTAAGCCATACCCATTATTAGATATTATTAGGTTATCTATATTATATATTCATAGTATTTATATTATATATATATAATTATATATAATCCAATGGTAAGCCCTAGTTGGGGATGGTATTGTACTTACTTGGGTTCACCATATCATGTACACCATTTGTTGTGTAGGATGACAACTGGGAAAAACATTGTCATGTAATCTTCTGGAAAACTGTCACACGCCTAACTTAAGTATACTTTCGCCAGCTCCACCAACAGACACTCGCATGGCAAATTCGCAAACTATATCCTACTGGAAGGCCCCTTGACATTCCTCCCGAATCTTGGAGCATGCCGAATGTTAACATCCCCTACACCAGTAGCCAGCAATCGCCCCCCCTTTTGGTGGCCGAACCGGCTGAACTGGTGTGCAATGCTCACTCACGAGCTTTGGCTGCACTCTTGCAGCGAAGTAGTGCTCAAGCGATATCGTGTCCATCAATGTTCAGCCCAACGTTACCTCTGGGTCTCCGCTGAGACTGCAAATATCTGGTTCAGATTGGATGGATGTTATGAGGGGACGGACGGATAGCAGTCACGGGACGTCAAGGGTTGCCATGTCGCTGCCGCGAGGCATCCCCAGGCGTCGGCCCCAATCTGCCGAAGCTCGGGGTAATCGAGGCCAGATCTCTGACATGGTGAGTCCTCCAGTCGAGCATCACAAATGATCCCAAGTCAATGAATATACAGGTGGAAAATGCTGGAAATCCTGCAAAGTCACAGTAGCAATTTGGAGTGGTACGTAGTGGATCGTAATGGTATGAAAAATACGTGAATGTTTTAGACATCGTCATATTCTTTATATCCTTTATCATTACTGCACCAAAACGGCTTGATTGACACTTGGGCTTGATTGACACTTGGGCTTCGCAAATTAGAGTTGTGTTTTATTTTGATTTATTTTGTGATTTAATTAATGTGATTTATTAATATTTATATATTAGAGGTCTTCCATTGCATTGCTGCTTCTGTGATTCTCGCTGACCTGGAGCTTTGTCACAACAGTAGCCTTGTGGCCTCATGTTATCCACAGATGGTCGATTTCCCAAATGGTCCAGGTATTCTTCAACTGGCAATGGCTGGTCATTCATCATTCATCAGCTTTCAAATCTTTCAATCACTTACCTATTGACCTATTGAAGCGGTTCTACAGCAGTTGCAGTGGAGTATAAACCTCCTGGAAGTTCGATGTAGATGTTACAATGTTTCACATCATTTTGATTACCCTCTGGTGAACTAACATAGCAATGGAAAATCACCATTTTTAATGGGAAAATCCACTATAAATGGCCATGTTCAATTGCTATGTTAGTTCACCAGAGGGTATTATGTATCATGCATTGCTTCACTGTGATGAACCAGGCCAATGGGCACAAGCTCCGTTGGGAAGTCGGCTGAGGCTTAGCTCTCAGTTCCGATGCTGGCGGGTCCAGATGGCTCAACGACCACTCTAAGTCAGCTATTCATGGGACAATTCGGACAGTTGGATGATAGGGATTCATGATTCATACTGATGAAATAGTCTGACCAATTGCCTTTTGGGCTTGGATGATGAAACTAAGCGCCAGGCTTTCATAGGAAGAAATTGAAACATGCGATGGATGAATCAGGTCTTCAACCGGCTCCGCCTATCAATGTGCAGGGCCAATGACAGGCAGAGTTTCAAGCCGCCTTACTGCCAGGATGCAGTCTGCAAGTACAAGCTTGCGAGAAGTCTTTATATATAAGACCTTCCTTTCTTTCTTGATACATCATGAATATTCTTGAATACAGTAATCTTGATACAGTATGTCGAAATGGGCCAACTTTAAGTTACAACGTTGCAGACGTTGCAAACAAAAATCGAGCAGACCTTTAGAAAGCAGTGGCGGATAGGATTTGTGAATTGTGAATGGCTGAATCTGCTGACTCAAATTTTGGAAGGCCAGTTTGGTGATCCATCACGGCCACTGGGGAATCGGCTCAGGTGGGGGCACGGGCACTGCCGTGCAGTGTATTGGAGGCAGTCGGCCCGGCGCCAGGTCAATGACGGGCAGCCAGGAGAATGACGGGCACACACTTCCTGGGGAGCCCCTCACAGGTGCCGCCCGTCGATTTGCGAATTTCCGAAGCAGACACGTGCAGTGGGGAAAATGATACAAATATCTAATTAAATCTATAATTAATATCAACAAATTTTAGCAAATTTAGAAAAGATCAAAAGATGCTGCCAGTTGCTGCAACTGCAACCAGATGCCTCCTGACCACATTTGAGACCTTAGCATTTGCCTCAAGCAGTAGAGCAGTAGATTTGCAGTCTATCATGCTCCAAGTTGATCAAGATACTCCACCCCTTGTGGGTCCGTCTGGCGAAAAGCGAGCCAGAAAGATCAATGTGGCGGTCTGCATGTACCTCTTCTTCGCACGTGCTGTGCAGTATGCTATCGCATCACGAGATTTTCTGGACACGTACATCATGGACATATCCAGCTCCAATGAAAAAGTTGGGCAAATTGAGTCCTTGTGCGGCATTGCAGCCCTCATTATCCTCCTGCCCTGTGGATACTTGGCAGATCGTTGCAAGCGCTTGAGACTACTTCAGTATTTAGCAGTGGCAAAGGCATTTCCGACTCTGATGGCGTTCATTGCTGTGCGGCAGAAGAACTTACTGCTCTTGCAGGTCAGCATGGTTCTTCTTGCAGTGGTTCCGTGCAGCACTGGAACACATTTAGACTTTGTTCAATAGCTTTCTACTGGCAGGGCAAAGATGATGTTTTTGGAACACAGACGCATAGCGGCTCTCATTTCCCGTTGATAGATATTGAATGAATTTGAATGATATTGATAGCTTAGTGCCTTATTGCTTACATTTGCTTACTATATCATACTATTGATGGGTTCTGTGATACTGGGATGATAGGACCGACCTGAGGTGAATGGACCCTTTGAGCAGGTATTACAAGTCTTCCTGGTTGACAATACCCTTCCGGAGCAACGGACCCTTTTCCTGAGCCGCAAAGAAATGCTGTCGTGGCTGGGCACTGCTGTTGGGCCGTTACTTGCGCTGCTTTTGGTAAATCTACATTCAGATACTAGCTGGTCAGTTCCACTGCTGCAAAACGTCGTATGTGCTGGCTTAGTTGGATACCTGTTTGTTGAGCCTGCTGTTCTGTTGCTGCGGAATGCACACCCAGCAACTAGAGATGATGCGGCAGGTGAAGTTGCTTCGTTGCCAGATTGGACACAAGAGGTGAAGTGTGGGATCAGAAAACAATGGCTCGTCCCTGTCTGGACGGAAATTATGTGGGGAGGTACGCAGATTGCCTCATCAATGAGCTTGAAATACATTCCACTCTTCTTCCGTCAGGACTTTAGCATGAGCCCATCATGGCTTATGATCGTACGTGTACTTGAGAACCTCGGATTGGCAGCTATGAATTTTGCCACACCATTCATTTCTGCCAAAACGGGACGTGCATGGGCTGCGACCTTATTTATTTTTGCTGGAGCAATTCTGATGCTGGGCGTCGCCAGCTTGCATCAGACTTGGCTAGCTGCCACTCTATTCATTCTCCGAACTACCTTTGCGAGAGCCAATGTGCCTTGTGTTCAATCTATTATTTTCGAATCTGTGCTTCCAAAACATCGCGGCAGATGGACCGCTTCTTGTTAGCAAGACTGGCAAAGATTACAGCTTTTAAGAAGCTGTATACTGTATCGTTTTCATTATACTACGAACGATCGCTGATAGGGGACAACCCTTTGCAAATACTCCCAGTTCCATTCACATCCCCCATGTTTATTCCATCTTCCAACTGTGGATAGAAATAGATAGATAAAGATAGAACAATCCAAGAACCTGACAATCAACGGGGGACAAGCCAATTTGATTCAAATGAGCGTATGGCAAACTTAAGTAATGTTTATTTGTCAGGCCCACTACAGCGGTGATGTTGACAAAACACCTCCTGTATCCATGATCCAAGGCCATCACCTCCTTCAAGTCAGCAACGAATGGGGCAGGTGCTTGGGTCGGAGGCTATTTGGCAGATCGAACTGGAGACTATCGAGCAGGCTTTGTCCTGACGGCCAGTATGCAGATGCTTTGTGCTATTTCCTACGTGCCCATCGCTTTTATGGTGCCGTAGGCTCCGTATGACTCCGTAGACATGCTTCACCGTGTGTGAAGATAATGGCCAAAAAGTCACTGCGGTTGCGCTTTGAATACCAGAGGATTCTTATGCTGAAGTTTGTTTGCTTCGCACATCTGGATGCATTTGTCTTAAATTTAGAACTGTCCTGCAAGTCCAAGTATGTCACCAGTTCACCGACTGTCGGCCCACTGGTATGTTCTCATCCCTTGTGCCAGTTTATGACGACAAGCCCTCAGAGCCGTTGCACACCAGCCCTGAAAGTGCTATGTCCTCAGAACGTGATGTTCTCCTCATCACATTGCTCTGGCTGATGCTGGATGGTCCGATGATATCCGATGATGGTTGGATGGTGGTTGGATGATGCTGTCCATCAGCTGGAGCTAAGGTCCCCGAATGGCGCGCAGAGTTGTGGACGCGCCCTTAGCAGTGTTCAACACTTGCAGTAGAGCAACATGAGTTTGGACACATTTACAAAGACAGCGATCCGATGGCTGGCTTATCATTATTATCATGATGACTTGTCCCAGTATAATAGTAAGATATAGCAATAGTCAAGTGTGGTACAGCGGTATTTCATGGTATTTCTTCATTTTTGCACATTTTTCGGCAACCCCACTATACACATTCTATACACGATATCTCCATGCCATTTGTTCGAAATCCGAGGCAGAGTCCACCGTCAAGGCCTTCCTCTGCCAGACCTTCGTCCGCTGGAAGGCCTTCCTCTGCAGGCAGGAGGCCGCCGGATTCTCAGCTGGATATGGGTCAAGAATGGTCAAAACAACTAAAAACCCTAGGATTTGTTCAGAGATTTCCATATTATAGACTTATAGAATCTTATAGAATATCCATATATATCATTATATATCCATATATATTTATATATTATATAATTATATATGTATATTTGATATGTATTTAAAAAATCCGTTTACCAGCTATTTCATGTGAACAGAAGGGTGCCGTCCGGTGACCCAGGTGGATACCACCCGGTGTCCCGAAGGCCTGGGCTGTTGAGCTACACACAACATGCTAATGTCACAAGATATGAGGGAATAATATCTGATTAAACCAAAAACCACATGGGATATAATCACTTATAATGGGGATAATATTGGATGTATAGGTATATATATATAATATAGATGATATACTTAACCACAATACATGCCAGGTGATGCAATGTATGTCACTTGTTCCTTCTCAATCGAAAGCAGTGTGGTAAGAAAGCAGTCTTCTGCGCCCGGCCCCACAGCTTGAGCAGACTCATGCTGAGTCTACAGGTATCCAAGGCAGAACTTCAAGCCAATTCCATTCACGACTCCTTAGTGATTTTCCAGAACATCTTTCAGCACATTCCAATTGTTGCATTAGAAACACACACACACAGACTATGACAGACAAGAAAATCAGACAAAGTGAGTGTGCATAGCTCTCATCATATACATTATGACAGTAATTTATTCAATTTTCTGCATATGTCATAGTCTCTTTTTTGCAGTGTATACTACAGTGGCTGAAGTCCATCTTGGTCAGCATTTTGGCATGGAGCCGATCATAAACCAACCGGAGCCCACGCATCAACGCACTCCCATTCAGCAGTAGCTGAACTTTTGACGTTTTAATCAGTGATGAGTCCCTGTCGCCCATGTCGCGGGGAGCAAAGGCCTGCCAGGGAAATGCCAAGGGATCAGGGGTCTTTTGCGGTGTGTTGCTCAAAGCCAACAAAAGAGGGAGGCAACAGTGTATATGTGACATGTGATCACATCGAACTTAATTTGAGATCCTTTAAAATTTTAAATGGCCTTTGCCTTTCCTGCTTCATGCTGCTTCAAAGGAATGTAAAGTACAACCAAGGCATCAGAATTCTTGACATTGTGTCTGGGTGTATATGATATTACTGCAGCATCAGTGACAACTCTAGCGACGAAGTGAGGCAAAGGGCCTCGAAATAAGTGCATTTGAAGAATGCTTCTTGAGGGCCTTTGGACGCATTGGGCATAATATGTATTTATATATATATAATAGATCATGTATTCATGATTCATGGTGCTGGTGCGGCCCCAAAATCCTGAGGGAAATGAACCACTATGATTGGTGTGGCTGCTTGATGTCACTGTTTTTCAGCTGTGTTTGCCAAGCGCAGTGACGTCAGGAACCAGGAGTTCATGAACTCGTCCGCCTCACGTTCTAGCCTCAGTTGTGGATGAAGGATTTGGAGTAAGAACATAATTACCTGCACTTGTTGTCGACCAAGATTGTAAATCAAAATTGTCAACCAAAATTGTGGGACATGTTCTATATTCTATAGTTCTATTATATACACCAAATTAAACCAAAATTGCATCTTGAAGGTCTTTTGCGGGAGGAGCTGTCTTCAGCATTGTAAGCCTTGAAGCTCAAACTGACAGCAGGCGGTTTCTCTTGGACACTGCCAAAGTGGAGGAAACCTGACTCTTGTGCCTCTCAAAGGTTCCTCCAGTGCGAGTGTGTCACCGAACTACCTCCAAGATTGCTATGGGTCAGATAGTCATTGATTATCCCCATGATATCCCGATAGTAGCCTGAACCCATTGGCCCATGCCGGTTCTGTTGGTTCATCCATTTGGCAGGACCTACCCGAGATGCTCCATGCAATGTGCCCCACTGCAAGCAGGAGCTGATGAAGTTCAGAGAGAAGCCCTGACAAACATGCTTATATATGATCTTATATGGGTGATGCGGATATGTGGCACTATGTGACAATGTCAAGAATGATATGCAAGAATGACAGTGAGTATTGCAGATTCGTGAAGATAGTGTCAGGTGTTGTATGCAAAACAACTTGCCAGGAAGATCCTACTGGCACATTTGCTTATATCTTCGACAGCCTCATCTTTGCAACAGGCTCCGTAACACACCCTTCCAGAGTGTCAGCAACAGCATTGAGAGTGAACACTTGGACCACCAGCTGTACTGGTCAGATGCTCGGCATGCTGCATGCTGAGCCGGTAGCAGCAGCTGAGGCACATTGTTACCGCAATCTGAAACACCTCAGTCTGTTTAGAAGGTTTTATCATGTTTTATCCCCCTGGGTATTGTCACATGGGCAAAAAAAACATGTTTGATGGGTTCAAACAATTGAACATTCCAAGCTGGTGAGTTTGCAATTCTCTTTCAGGGTAAACAACTGCCCTGAAGTGCGTCAGATCTTGGTGCAAGTCATCACCAACATTGAGGGTGAATGTCCAATTCAGCTACAGGAGTTGGGGACTGAGTTTGAGATTCCACAGCAGAGACTAGGTTTGAGTTATGCTGAGCTGATTTTGTTGCGATTTGTTGAGTACTTTATAGAAAACAGTGACTTGAACAGATTAGACGCGTTAGATGATGTTAGATGCTTTGAGGCATTCGGATGGAAGTTTCTCACTCAATGAGGAAAAGACAGTCCAGGCAGCTGAAGTAACCTACCGTTGGGGGATTGTTTATACCGATGACTTGGGGCCCTGGGGATGGTTTGACTTGGCTTTCCACATTGACCAGTTGCCAATCTGAGAGCTGAGATGACTGTAAGTCATTACTTCAACAATATTTCAATTATACCCTGACCGCTAAGAGTGTGCTGGGATAGGATGACTGCAGTTGTAGAACCTTGTTTTTTGGCAAGATCTCCGGGAGCTTGTCATCGTGGCAGGGCGCTATTTGCAGAGTCGTCTCCTTGGACGTGGGTGACACCTGTGAGAAGTACGCAGAAGATTTGAGTGCTTGGCTCAGGTTGGTCAGTTGTGCAGTGAGTTTGAGCAGTGTTATAAACCCCTGTTGGTTGATGACAATAGGGGTTTTACTATAATTATACCCAAACATTAGGGATTATAACAATCCAGTACCAGAAATCCTAGTCTTGACATGTTGTGTCCAAGTTTATATGTCAGGAATTTAATCGACTTTCTTGAAGCGACTCTGCTTTCAAGCTTCATTTGCCAAGTCCGCTTGGGAGTGCAGCTTCCTTTGTGGACTTCCAGAGATATAGTCAGGATCTCAGTTTTGCCAGTTGGGTGACATGCAATCGATAGTTGCTGTGACGAAGTCAGATACTCTGCGCCTGATGGAGAATCAGATTTGAGAGTTTTGAGCGGCACTTGCCTCGTTTCCCTTTATGAGGCGGTTCTGGAATACACCTCGCTTAAAGAAAATATTTTTTATCATCACTTTTTGTTTTGTTTGTTTTGACTTCCAGCAGCACAGGCCAAAACCTGAAAGTTTGGACTTCGACAATAGCCCAAATGCAACGCACAAAAGGGGCTGAGCTATAGTTCTCGCTTCTCGCGCCCAGGCTCGCTTCTCATCGTCACCCAATCTGCAGGAGAAGGCTTGACTCAAATCCATTGACACTTCTCTATGTGTCGAAGATCATTTTGATATTGACATCAGACACTTATAACACACAGACACAGATATGTATATGTGTATACCTGTGTATGTGTGTATGTATATACTGTATACATTTGTATACCTATTTATGGAATTATGTGATTTAATATGTGTTTTATTCACATATATACATGATGTATTGACCTTCAACTTGAAGCTCAGAAGCTCTAGCATCTAAAGCTCCCGGGACTCACATCCCTTGAAACCAGGTTGTGAATTGGTTTGTCGCTGGACTGGCTTGTTTGATCTTCCAGGTGGTGAGACTGAGATCGTGGCATGTCCATGCCTCACACAGAATCTGAACGCTGGCAAGCCTCTAAGCCAGGCATCTCTATCAGACCAAGTGCTGGTGCTTCTTCAAGGTGCAGCTTTGTCTTGCACAGAGTCTTGCATTCAGGTGTCGAAATCCCCTCACGCCCTCATAATATAAATTGATGTAAATATATTCATTTACCGGAAATCAATGTCCTGTGAAGCACAGGTTGCTGTCTTGTGAGCAATCTACATACTGCCCTGCCGCAGCCTAAGCAGATCGATATCTCGCTTCCGGTGGCACAGAGAGGTGGTCAGCCAAGGCCAAGACCTGCCCCAAGCTGTGCGCAGATCGTGGCAGAGTGTCTTGCTGCCGCAGAGGTGGAGCGCAAAACAGATGCAGATGCGAACATGTATGCGAACAGCCTGCACTCTGCAGGCGTTTCGAGAATGCCTGTTCCAAAGTGCCTATCTACTCAAGGTTGGATGGGATGGGTAGTGCAGAGACTGATGCAGCTTAGGACTATCCTTCATGCGTTTCACAATATGTCATTGACTTCCAGGAGCTTCTACTGTACTATAAACATGCCATAAAATATATAAAATGCATTAAAATAAATGCGTGAATCAATCTATCTTGGAATATCTGGGAAAACATCAATCTCGCTAATTGGACTCCCCATGGGCTCAACCACTCCGCATACAGCCCCATACTCTTGGCAAGACAGAAATTTTAGAAACTGCTTGAAGATCTTGGAGCCCCGGTGCAGTCCAACAAGTGTGTGGAGTCTTTGATTTGGGACTTGCTACAGCCCAAGTTCAGCTCTCAGCAACTCTACTGCTGGAGACTGCGGCGAAGGACCCACTCTTCAGTCCTTTCGGGATTTTCAGTTATGGAATGTTTAGTTCTGTTCAGTACCTTTTCAAATAGGGTGGTTCCTTTCGCAGAGTTCTATTTCGGCGAGTCTTACTTTCTTGTTGTTTGGGATCCATCTAACGCCAGTGAATCTGTCGCAAGCGTACAAGGTCCGCAGAGCTTGTTCCTCACTGCGAAGAACGGTGTCTCCCTCACAGTGATGCAAAGTACCATTGGAACGTGGTGCTAAGATGTGCTAAGTACTAATTATTCTGTATTTTCTCTAAGAAGGGCACCCCATTCCATTCAGTCATTCAGTGGTTTCTCCGTATGTTATCATGATTTTCAGTCATTTTCCCGTTTTTCAATAGCCAGAATTTACAATGGTCCCCATCCAAAATTGTTGGACCCGCGCAGAGGTTTGGCTGCATCCTCGGAGGAGCTTTGGAGGCGCAAGTCAGGCTGGGCCCCGGCGCTTCGTTGAAGTCGTTGAAGTCGTGGAACGCCGTGTGATGCCAGGCATGTGGAGACACTACAGCCACATGCTCGCTTGCACAGTTTGTGGCGACTGGGGTCTGTTGGTCACCTAGATTCCTCTAGGTGATGGCATCAGATACATGAGAGCAAAGACCGTAGATGATGTAGATGCAGCTGTGAACTGAAAATTAATGCCAAAGACAATTCGATCAGATTCCTGATGACCAGACTACCTTGTTGGTACCTTTCATAAACTTGCTAGACTTTTTCGGTGTCTGAGGTAGTACTGACCTGGCGACACCTGGTTCAGTTGTGCTGTGAGGATGAAGACCAGGCTGGCTGGCTGTTGGCAAGACATCACAGGGATTCGTTGCACAGCAATGATTGTATAGGATATTACGGTAGCAATGGAATATGCCTTGAGCTGCCTCAAACGATTGAGATAGTTGTAGCTTTTTCGAAATGGGGGCACATCAATGAGAGAAGTCGCGAAATCTCCATCACTTGCCAGTGGCCCTTTCCACTGGCCCTTGCCAGTTCCTTACATTTCTTGCAAAGCCCGGAAACTACACTTCATGGAGGCCTGCACCTCAAGCCGTTCAGGCAGCAGAGCAATGCAGAGATATGCAGAGCATATGGCATAAGTGGCACAACGCATGAGCCGAATCACCAACCGGCCACCAACCAAGGCCAGGATGCTCTGCCAAGATGGTGGGAAAGGCTTACCATCACCAAGTGATATCTCCAATGATGGAGGAAGAACAGCGAGTGGAGCACTGAGCTGCGGCCAAGTCCCTCAAGATGCATCGCACTGAAAACGGCAGTTAAGGCTTGGTGTGAAGTTGCCGAAAGAGCAGCCAACGAGGCAGAAGGGCTACCAGAAACACTTAGACTATCTTAGACTTAGGATGTCTTGGCCTTGCTGCATAAATGTGTATGACATGGGTGTGTCTGAAAATGGTGGTATATCTCCCAGTCATGGCCATCACATGATGGCAACGTGACGCAGGCCATGGCTGAGCTGCTTGCTGAGCCTGACCAAGCATCTGGAAGCAAACGGAAGGCAACTGCACTGGTCGTTCACCATGAGCACTGCAAACGTGGCAAAGGGAAAACCCCTAAAAATGTCTATAGATGGAGGTTTCAATGGAAACATGATCTATAGATGGGCTATTTATGCTATTTGCTATTGCCGTGTTTGGTGATCACTGATATCGTGTCCAGGCGAAGCGCGGAAAAAAATCCGATGCCAAATCTGATGCCAAATCTGATGCAGGCTGGAAATGGTCGGGAAAAAATGGTAGGGATGCTAGGACAGTTTATGTTAGTATGTTGCCTGTTATGGTCGTTTTTATGTTGTTGCTCAATGTTTCTTCTTTACCTTTGATGTTTTGTATTCTCCCCCTCATCTTAAACCAAACAATGAAGTGAAGGTTCCCACAATCCCCACCACATAAAACATCAAAGGTAAAGATGAAACATTGAACATCAACATAAAAACATATAAAAACCATAACAACCAACAATGAATGCTGGGATGTCCCAGCATCCCCCTTTTACCATTTTGTTTGGGAGCTTCTGGGACCTAGATGTTCACACGGATATGCACCTAGCCTTCTGTCGCAGCCACTGTGGTGCCAGGCCCTGCTTGCAGTGGAACCAATGGCTACGCGCCAGGATCTGAAAGTGTATTGTATCAGCATATTCGAACCCGTAGGATTTCAAACGTGGTTTCAGTATGTTTCAGTCTTAGGCAAAAGAACGCAGAAGAAGTTTCAACATTGGCCATGGAGGCAGGATATTTTTGTGCATGGAAATGTTGGGCGAGAGGCCTTGCCATATCTTCATTGCTACAAACGTTACCAGAACCAGCTGGAGGATTTGGAGCTGCCAGAGTCACTGATCCAGTCCTGGCAACATCTCACAGTCCAGCTCCTAATGGCAAGGAACTCAGCGTTGAGATCCATGAGGGCTATGATCCGACCATATCCCACCCTTTCTAACCCTTTCTATCATATCCAGAAGATTCCAGAAGGTGATAGTCAGCTTCTGCAACCAGTTTTGTGGATTTTGAATCACTTTAGGATGTTTTCCATTGTTTTCCTCATTCTTTCTGGGGTCATTGTGTTTTTTATAGTCTTGGTAACGGCAAAATGCCTGGTGCAGATGGAGCGTGGATCGCCACGAGATCTCTGAGATGTGAAAACTTCGCCGCCGAAAAAAGGAGATGCCGCCCTGTCGGATATCTTTGCACCACATTTGGAAAGACCGTCAGCAGCCAAATTCCACCAGAATGGACGCCAGCAGTTTTATCCATAGTTTCCCACAGAACATGGCCCATGTTAGAGGAAAAAACTAGCAACACTGCCACATGGCCAATTTTAGATCTGTTGGATGATTTTTGGGGGGTCCCTCATTCTACGAAAGCCTGATTTTGACTCTCACCGCGCAGTGCCTGGAGCCTGCCCCATTGCTTTCGGAACCAGCACCTTGCGAAAAAAGGCGGGCAGTGGCGAGCCAGTGGCGAGCATTGAAAACAGGAATTGACGTTCAAGAATTATGTCAGTGATTCATGTTGAGTGCAACGAGAAAGTAGCAAGAATTTGAAGGTTAATTAAAACTGGCAGAGATTTGCAGGATTTTGCAGGACTCAGAAGAATTTCAGCACTTTGAGATGTGTGCAGAGTGGCAGGTCCCCGCGGCGGGCAAGAAGCCGCCAAAGTTTGATGCTTACCAGACCAGTGAGGTCATGGCAAGTCATGGCAGGACCAGTGCTTGAAATGTGTTGGATGTTGATTTGCCTCAGAGGTTCTTTGGGAGGCTAAAAAAGCGCACTGTTGAAGATCACTGATCTTTGCAGTTCAGGCTCCTCCCAGTTCAAGCGTGGGAGTTGGTGCACACCTTAACCTCGACATGTCGCGGTGCAGATTTGGTTGCTTCCCACTGAGAAGTGATGCCCTGTGCAAAGGAATGACTTGGTTTCTGTTTGCTTGGTGTCAGATCAGCTTGCTGGATTACTTCCAAGCCGGTACATGTCAACAGCTGGTGAAGGATCAAAAATTCATACGAAAAAAAGAACGTTGATTCTCATTTTTCCTGCCTCTTTTGACTGGTGTTTCTTACATTCTGCTTTTTCCATGAATCTTTCTCCATTCCTTTTGCATCTTCAAGGTCTGGACAAGGGGCACCAGAAAGCAGATGGACAGAGGCAGGGTCTTGCGAGAACGGTGATGAAAAACCAGACATGAATGGAATGAAGTGGCATGGAATATAATTAGTTGACAAGTATATTTTCCGGATGTTTATAGCACGATAAAATTGTGTGTTCGATTCAATTTTTGCTCACTGATGCTCCTGACCGTGCTAGCCTGCTGCCCTGCGAGGGGGTTGCTGATGACTTTTCAAGAGGCCCTGAGTTCGGCCTGTCATGGGTTTGTCTTGAAGAGATTAAGTGTGTAAACCTGACTGTTTTATTTCTGACTTAAAGTTTTGAGCACATTTTCTTGCATGATTTCTTTATACTGCAGAGGTTCACGGTAGAAGGACGATAGAAGAAAGGAATGACTACCAACCTATAATACGAAGTACTTTATAATCTTCAGAAATCTTTCGACAGTGATTGTCTAAACAGCAGCAATTAAGCATCGATCGAAACCTACCAGGTACTCCTGAGGAGACAACTTTTTACAAGCGAGCGTGGTGAATCAGCTCACTCGCTGGAGCAAAAGGCTCCGTGCGAATTATCGATTCTTTGACTTTTTGACCTAAATTGGTCTCATTGGTGCGAAATTATGCGAAATTATTATGAAACTGTATACTGTATGGATCAACCCCATCGGCTTCCAAGATTTTCCCTTTGTATCGAGCTGAGAAGAAGACTGGTGCTTCAAACGATTTCCTCAAGCGTGTTGGACAAAACAATAGGACATAAGACCAACATAGACCAAACATATCCAAAAATCATGTATTGTGGATGAGCTTGTATATGCTTGTATCATTTTGTATCCTTTATCGCAAAAGATCAGGATTGGCTCCCCAAGGGTGCTGTACAAATCTCACCGGCTTGCAAGCATTGCAAGCTGCAGCAGCTCTGGGAATGAGATTTTACTAAAAGTCGCTTGTTGAGACATCTCAGAGACTGCCTTCGCCTTTCTGGAGGTTTGAGAGACTCAGAATGAGCACCTCTCGTGTAGGATGCGGAGTGCTGGAAAAAGATGAGTGGCCGAACAGAATGTAACTAACTTAAAAGCTTAATATATATAGCTCACAGCTGACTCAAATTTGCGCATATCTGAAAATTGGCATCATGCAGTCTTGAGTCATTCTCTTAGTGGACTTAGATCTTGCAATCTGCAGTTACTTAGCTCAAATGCACAGGTGAAGACTTGATACTTGACGAGGCTCTGGTTCTCTCTAGCTACCACTTTTCACACGACAATCGTCGACTTGCCTCAAGGAAGCAGGTCTTGGCAATGCCGGAGAAACCAGGCAGATTTAAATGCAGCGCCAAGAGCATTCAGATCGCCACCCCAGATCAACAGGTGAATGCAGGCTGGCAAGGGCCTCGCTTGTGCAGTAACTATGCAGCCCTGTGGCGGGAGAAATTTCCACCGACGAATGTGCACTTCAGTCAGTTTGTCCTTCGAGCCCAAGACGAATTGCACCCGGACGTCGCGAAAACCATCGAGTTTGCCTTGGAAACGTCACGAGTGACCAAAGGTTTTGGCAAAGGAAGACGTGGAAATGCGGAAGAAGCTTCAAGATCTTCTGATTCTGTGCCAAGGTTGGCTTTGCCGGCAATTCCATCCTACAGCACTCCGCAGGGAAGATCCAAGCTGGGTTCGGTCCTAAGGGCCTTCTCTTGTTGGAACCCAGTTGTTGGTTACAATCCGATCATGGCAGCTCTGGCAGCCCGCATTATGGCAGTCACAGGCAGTGAAAAGCTCACTTTTCAAATTCTCGTGAGTATCTATAAAAAGTATCGACTGAAGGATTACTTTGAAGGGACTTTCGCCACCCAGGATGAACACCTGATGAACGATGCTGAGGAAGTGTGGCAATCTATCCAGTTTGAATGGCCCGACTTGGCCTTTATATTTCGCCAACATGATCATGGAGAGGAGATATTTAAGAGTTGCATCAGGTCCTTACTTTCGACCGTGCTGACTCGGACTTATCGGGCGGAAATGCAGCCTTTTGAATGGCACGTGCGTTTGCTTCACCATATTCTGCTTCCCGTGGGCGAGTATTCACCCCGCGACCCACGTGCTCAGCTCAGGCATATCGTCACGCAAATTATGGCAAGGCACCTGCAAAATTTCCGACAGTGCAGTGACGAGCAGGAGCTTGCGCAAGCAGCAGAGAATGTCACAGAACACGTGCATGTGGATGTTCTCCTGATTAAACTACTGGCCAAAGCGCCAACTTCTCTGACAACACATATGCTGCCCAGTCTACTTGGAGGTTTGTTTGGAGGTTCAGCTATTGGCAGCCTGTCTTACGAGATCGCTTCTCATTTTCTCCCTTCACTTGGACCTCCGGTGCAGATACTCCTTGGGCTTTCTGCAGCAGCCGCTGGGACCCTTGGAAGTTCTCGTGTTGCCGCACAATTGTCGATTGAACGAGTGGCAGATGAGAATCGCGAGTTGCTATTCGTGGGAGACACGAAAGATGACGAAGCCGAGTTTGATATTTTTGACAGCTGCATCGTGTTTTAGATTAATTTTCATGAAACTGTCCAATTGCACCGTTTGGTAGGTCCATGCGACTATTTTGCGGCGTCTTCAAAGTGTGCATTGCCACGGAAGGATCTGTATTCTGACTGGTGGGCGATTTGCAGTGTCTAAGCACAGTAATTCTCGTGATACCACACATCCAGGACTTTGGTGTGGTGGTCTTTAATAGTACATATCTTCATCCCCTGCTGTCAAATAACGCTGACTTCACATTTTCATACATTTTCCAGGTGAGTATGGTGAGTTCAAACTTAAAGCCACCTGGAGGATGTTGCATTCCCAAATCTTATGAAGCTAATATTCGGAATATGTGACATGTTTTGCTGCAGGCTGGCTTCATGCTGGCCTTGCAGAAATACTGGACCTGGCATAAAATAAGTTGCAGTGTAATATAAGATCAGACTGAAAACACCTGGGGTCCTCTTAAGAAATGAAGGAAGCTGGAATTCACTGATTTTGAATCCCATATCCAAGTTACCAAAGTATGTTTTATCCTACGGCAAGGCTATGTTGGGGTCACCTGGTCACTAGAGGAATAAATTGACACTGCACGGTTAGTCCTTTATCGGACCAAGAACATCCGAAAACTGGTTTGCCCCCACCCACTCACTAAGGGCCCACGAACATATGGCATCTCGATTTGGGAGTACTGGCCCAAATGTCCCATATTGGACAATTTCAATCAAAGCTTGGATGGCGTAGCCTTGCCAGAAGGTCTGCAAACCGTGACTCTTGGGGACGATTCATAGGACACTCTGTTGCAATGGAGGCTTTGTTGAAGTATCTGTACACCCAGAAGACCCAGACTGAAGGCCACATGACGACTGCCTTTGACTGGTTGCCTTTGGGCTTGGCCTGGGCAGCAATCAAAAGAAGTACAGTCGTGCAGCGTTCCTCGCTTTGGCCTTAGTTGCAACATGTTGCAACCCCCTACTTCCAGCACCAAACTTCTGGAGCTGATTCACAAGGAGTTGCAGAAATCCCTGACCAGCTTCACACCTCTAGCCGCAAGAATGTGCGGCCAGATGGAGAGAAGGTGACACTGCAGACGGCTTTGGGCCTGGTGACTTCAGGTCACTGGCGCCATATCCCAATGGCCGGCAAGGAGACATATCAACACCTGCAGCTACAGCAGCTCATCTTTGCGTATGTACAGGTGCGTGCCCGGGAGCAGGGCATTGATCTCACCGGCTTTACTTGGCATTGATGCTGACTGAACAGACTTCACAAAGAAGCTTTGTCAAATCTGGGTTTTGGCCAGCAAAACAGCATGCAGTCTGTGATGATCAACGAGTTTCTCCAAAGCGAGATTTCCGGATCAGGACAGATTCTGGCTAGCTTGGATCCTTCTCGCGAGCCCAGTGCATAGAAGACGCAAGGTGGAGCAGTGAGATTGAAGCGGCACATTTGCGCCACAGCCACGAGAACATCTCAAGAAAATTCCTACATGGCAAGCACAAGGGGCAAAAGGTCGAAGCGCTCAGCTGTGACTTGTGGTATCGTAGGCTTTGGATCACAGACGTAAAGCCATTGTTTGCCCTGAGCTGGAAAGATGCAATTTATGTGGTTGATTTGTGGCAATCGCCGATGTCATGCTATGAAGTCATATGAGTGGCTTGGGCCCTGAAGCCCTGTGCCTGTGCCCAAAGCTGGTTCCTCCATGAGCTCTTAGAGTGAAGGGCGTGATGTGGAGGTTGGTGAGACTTGTCGAAGGGGTGCATCACAGCAAGGACATTTCATGCATTTCAAGGTGAGATACATTGGCATAATCTCCATTTATCTCTGGTCAACAGAATCTCCTGGCAATTTAGAGAATCTGTGGAATTCAATTCTCCCAGCATGGGCAAAAAGGGTTTCTGACTTGACGCATCTCTTGGTCTCTGGGAGAGTCGTGAATGTGACGCGGTTGCAGATTGGCCTGGACCCAGCCAAACAGACGTAGCCCAAAAGTCAGCAGATGATAGCGGATGGTCTGAAGATATCTGAAGATTTGACACTGCAGAATGTGATCTTGATCAGGGACAGGTGCAGCCATAACCTTCTTCTAGGTAGTGCACCTGCAGATGCCAGTTCTGATTGCGGCGTTGCGCACGTTGAGAAGGGTCTTCCTCGTTTGTGAAAACCGCGAAGGCTGGAGCTTGGAGAATGGATGAAAAGTTTGTGTTGTGAATGTGATCATTCCCAAGTTTGAATTTGTGTTTTTCTTCTTTGGAACCCTGTGCATTCTTCCAAGAAGTAGAGACAGCAACCATGTTGGGTGGTGCGAATCCTGTCAGGTCCTTGTGCCACACTAGCAGAAGTTCCAGCTCAAGGAGGCTGGACCTGCCTAGACAGATCTAGACAGATTTGCTGGATGTTTGGTATTATTGTGTATTGAAATTATGGTATTACTTGGTCATGTTTAGTCAAGGTGTGGAACTTCGCCGACAATTGCATGGTGTCAAGATTCAATTGGTGTTGTTTTGATTGTGACAGTTGTGACATGTGACATTTGGCAGCTTCCTTTTTGCAAAGACATGCCTCCGCCGCAGCCAAGTGTTCTCAAGAACGTAAGGCAGCTTCCGAGCACCATTGGTGACATTAGGTGACCATGACCGAGGATGAAGGTAGACTAAAGATGTCATGGAGATGTGCTGGAGGCACTTTCTATGCGTTCATCTCCATAGCTTTCACCATCTACTTGATCGCACTGCTGATTTCGAAGCCACTCTTCCCCCTCAAATCAGACTCAGCAGAATGGTCTTCGTCCTGGCTACTTTTGGCCGTGTTTGACTACTACCACATGGCAGTGTGCTTTGTCGGCATAGTGATCGCCACGGAGAATCGAATAGCAGGTATCATTTGGTCCTTGCTGATTCTGATCCTGGGAGCTCCTTTTGGCTGCTTGTACACTGCCAAACAAATTGGAAGTGCAGGTACACTGAAGTTGCGGGAAAACTACGTGGCTGTTCAAGCGATTTACCAAGTAAGCAAGCCCGAAAGACCTTTGACCGGCTTTGTGGGTTACCTCGTTGCTGCAGGCTATGTAGTGATTGGAGGTGCTTTCGGTGCCAGACTTGTTTGGACTATGATGAACTACCCCTTGACTACCATAGCCTCGGATGATGCTGAGTGGTCGTTTGAATGGTTCATCACCACGGTGCTTGACTACTACACCATTGCAGCTTGCATGATCGGAGTTGTAGCATCCACCGATGACTTGTGCCCGGGCCTAGCATGGTGTGCTGGAATCTTGGTCATCACTGGGCCAGCTGGCGGAGCGTGGATGGCACAGAGACTGCTCAGAGATAGGCCATTAGCTCTGGAAGCAGCTTAAAGTTGACCAGAGCTTGACCAAAGCATCCAAAGCTTTATAGCCCCACGAAAACGAGCGTGGGGCTTGTGCCATGAAGAGTAAATGCAGCTACCTGCGTTTGGCAGGCTTCTCGGCAGCTCCAGTCCAACAACTCCATCATCGAAAATTTGTGGAGTTCGGGCTGGACATGTCGAGACGGAGTTGGTCACACAGGATCAGCACCAAAGACGCAGCTGACTGTAAGCTTGTTCGCTGAAAAAAGGGCTGCAGCAGGCAACAGGTAAATAGCACAAGGCAAAATAAGCAGAATCCCGAGAACAGGCAAACCCAAGAGACATATTTTGCATTTATTTTGCTTTATTTTGTCAAAGGATTTAATCTCACACAACAACATGCTTCCCAACAACAAAAAAGGATTGGTCAGATGATGTTGTTTAGAGTCCTACAATTGATCAGACAGGATTTTGAAACTGGAGTGGCACCTTGGCGCGTGTCATTCTGTGGAGGTGGCCAAAACACCACAAGCTTTCTCACTGGGCTCTGGGCTGATGAGCCAGATATGGCCTGATGGCAGAAGACGCATTCTGAACATTTCTCAACAAATGACTTTTGTCTCCAAATGTCGAAAATCCTTTTGTGTCGCACATTCCTTTGCAACAAGGATTCTGGACTGAGGCGGCACTCTCGGCTGATCCTCAACGCTACAGCAGGGACTCCAGCAGGAGTCAACCTTGCACAGCAGCGGGTGTTGTGCGCGAGAACCTCTCAACCTGGACTGTAAGGCTGGGTGATATTTTGTATTAATCAGCCTTTGACAAGCACAGCCAGTGCAGCAACTTTATATTGTATTGAATTATAAAATATTATAAAATGCTACAAATAATGTAAAATATTGAATGATATAAATTATATTAATGTAGTTTAGAGATGTTGAGAATTTACAGTGTATCCCTGGCCCTGGCTCCACTGATGCTGCAAATCCCCAGTGGCCTACCAGGAGATCTGAGAAGATGTAGCTGGAATTCTAAGCCAAGCCGAGGAAAGTGCAATGGCAAAATGGCAGCTTTTCCAAACAGCAAGGTTTTGTCACAATGCTCTACTAGAAGCTTTAAGATGCTGTGGGGACTTGCACTCATTCACAAGACTGTTATTGAGATATATGCAACTTGAACGCTCGCACCTGTCTTATTTGAGCTTCCAACCTGATGAAACGTAGTCAATCACAGCCTATTGGGCAGAAACAAAGAGCCGGCACATGCCAGCACCATACACCATGCACCATGTTACATGTTTGAGTCGGCCTTGAAATTTAACTGCAACGGTAAGGATTGCAAATCAATGGACATATATGATAATATATGGAAATTATTGCAAACAAGCTCCTTCCCTTCTTTGCCAGATTGCATCAAATACACGGCTTGTTGAATGAAAAAATAAGTACATACGGGAATCACAGCGGATGAAAGGGTCCCGCAGTGATGTCGAGCCCAGAAGAGGCCTCAAATATAGTTCGATAATGTCCGATAAGTGATACGGAATAGAATGTAGCCACACTCACTGGCCAACATTGGACCATATTGGACCAATTGTACGAGTTGACTGACAAGACTAGCCCCACTGTCCTGATAAACCTGCCACTGATCAGGTCAATTCAGCAAGAAAGTGGTTGTTGCTGCAGAAAGAGAGTCAGCCGGGGTCCTTCCGATCTCGTGGGGAGATCTATGATCAATAATGGAATATAATAGATGATTATTCAGCACCAGCCTACATGGCGTGTGTCATCATGTATCATTCAGTTTCGCTGCCCCTTGATGCTGTATGTAGTAGCACCGGCAGCACATGGCAGGTTAATGCCATTACTAACGTGGTATTTGCTGTATGCACGCAGATGTGAAAACGGTATTCTTTATGAAGAATTGGTTTGTTTCGGATGTTGTGTTTCCGTTTGGTTTTGCTTCAGGAGGTGACTGCAGCATGATGTCGATACGTTTCCTGTCTAGCTTTCCCAACTTGATTTTGCTTTACTTTCGTGCACACCGGATTTCACCACAAATGTCTGAGGTTATGTGTCCTAGATGAGGCACAGTTTCAGTGCATCATTTTGCCAAGAAGATGCATGATTCCCTGCCGGACTGAGTGAAGGACTGCCTTGGAAGCAAGGCAACGGTCAAAGGATTCTCATCCGTTTGTGCAGCAGTTTGTTTGTCTCACAGTTCTGAATGGCACAAGTCATCAGCCATGAATGTGCTCCACTCCTCAAGATTCCACTAACCTTTGTTTCTAAACTGACTTTTGTTAACTGTTGCTTTTCTTGCCATTGAAAGCTGGCGTCCTCAGACAGTCCTGACAGATCCTGACAGACAACCTTGGATTTGATGATATGGTCCCCAGAGCTGAAGACTCCCCACATCCAAATTACTTTGATCCAGGGCGACTGTTTCAACAGCACTCAACTTGTCACTTCGTACAGATCGAAATACACTCAATGAGTTGGCTTTGTTTCACCAAGTTGCGGCGACGCCATGACAGAAACTTGACCAAATAAACCACCGAACTGTGGCAGCGAGGACAGCTTTGTCGCATGAATCATGGCGGGACCCGAGAGTCCCGAGAGTCCCGAGAGGCAAGTTCTTCGCACATCGGCCCAACGATTCCGGACGAAGCTGAGCCCAATGGTGGTGCTTCGACAGACCACATCTCTGAGGAGAATGAACCATATGACTACTCTGTTGAGAGGGATGATGAGTGGTTCCAACGTGACCTGACGAAACAGCCATCGCCTGTGAAAACCATGCATCTACGGCCAGGTGTTGCAGTGAAGGATTTGTATACTGGAGAATCCCGCTCATCAGACATGCAGAAGTACGAGGGCCAGATGTCCCGACAGGAATATATGGCCTTCATGGGTTTCGAGATTCCTGAAATACATGAGGAGGCCAGCACTGTGATTGCTCAAGAGGCAAGAACTCAGGGGGAATTCAACCGGGTGGATGAAATTCGAAGCCAATTTCAGGAGCTGTCGTTGCTTTATCCACCAGTCAGACTAGCACTTCCATCTCGAAGACCACAATCTGCTCCAACACGGCCGCGGATTTCCATACCTCAGCGTAAGGAGCTGCAGACCAATCCTCTTGCAGTTTGACAACTTGCAACAACAAAAGAATGCAAAGACATCGGTTTTCAAATAATTAGTTTTCAAACAGTTTTCAATATGGCTTTGAATTGAATAGATTTAATATGATTTAATAGTTGTCCGCGTCTGTGTGTAGATCGCAATATTGGTAATTATGTCGTTTCATGTAGTTTGCATCTGTGAAATTAAGTGACCGATGGTTCAGAAGAGAGCGGCTACCAAGTTTGACGCGCTTTGAGCGCCAAGTTTCTTCTGATAAAGCATACTGTTCTGAGTCGTCCTGACTTTTTGATTTTTAGCTCAGTTTGCAGGACAAGGCCAGCGGCGGAACCATCATTGCCAACAAGGAGCTGTTGCAAAAGTACTTTGGATCAGGAGACTGAGTTCGAATGAAAGATCCATGCGCCAAAAGGAAGACGCAAGCTTGGCCAAGATCCACTGCATCCAATCATGTTGAAGTGGAGTGAATCAGATCCGCAAGGGCCTACAGATGCCTACAGTGTTACAGGGTGAGCCAGTGCAACTGTGGTCAACATGCGCGAGAGTGAACAAGCAGGGGCTCCACTGGCGTTCAAAGGAAGCCTTCGACAAGCCTTTATCACCGGTGAGTCAATATGCTTAGAACATCTTAGAACGATTTGATTGACGAAGTGGTGACCCACCCAGTAGACACATTCCGGAGTGTTGCAGCTGTGCGAAGAGATGTTCAGCTTTCGACCGTAGTCCTGGTAGTCGCGAATGCCCCTTGTGGAAGCACAAACACAAGCCCAGATTTGTGCAGCATCAAACCGCAAGACAGAATTTGCCGATGGTTTTGTGTTTTGTAGTAATGCAATGTTGATGCTTTTTCGGAGCGCTGGGAACATAACCAAAGCACAAGCAGTTGTTTGAAATCCTGAAAGAAAGACTTGTTCTTTGTCGCTAGGCAAACGACATTTTGAAGTCGGAGCAAAGGCAAGTTAATATTGTCCGCACCCAAGTTGCAGGATTGGATGATATGCATAATATGTATCTCACATATAAACATCTATAATATATATTAAATATATTGTAGATATACGATGATATACGCATATAAATCTATATACTAGTATTAGAATTCATTACACCCCATTTGATCAAGAAGATGTTGGGCCGGGCATGCTGTGCCTATGCAAATATGTAGATTAATATCTCCTTGCCATGAGTTTTGGCCGAGGTCATGGTCTGTGGCCGCCTGCGCACTGGAAAGCTGCGAGCTCAAAGACATTTGCAGCTTAGTGGTTCTATATGGTTCTATGGGCTTTCAGAAATTCCATGTCATGTTGGCAGCTTAGTAAACAAAAAGGAAGTGGATGCAGAGTAAAGCCATGCATATAACATCACATAACGCTCTGCATAAATTGCGAGACACCATTCTCCAGGTCCTACCTCATGAATTGCTTACTGCGGGAGCCTTGCTTTGGAGTGTCATCGCAGGCAGGGCAGTGCACAAAGGTGCAACAAAACCCAAGAGTAGTGCCAAGCAATTTTGTTGGCCTTGGTGGTTCCGAATTTTGCCTCGACTCATGAGCCATTCCCAATACCCCTGGAAGTCTCATGAAGTCTCCCTTTCCCCTGTTCCTTTGGCCAACATGCTGCACGCATGATGTGTACTGCCTTGATTGCTTAAGTCCACGGATGCAATTCCCCCATATTCCCCCTAGATTTGCGGTCACAACCCCATCACATGGCACAGGTGGTATCTAGAAAATAGCATTGACATATTTCATCATATTTCCTCCAGACTGTTACTGTACTCATACTCGTGGTATCTTGTGGTGTCCTGAAACTTGCAGAGCAAAGTGTTTGTAGCATTTTGTAGAGCCTAGCTGCGAGGCTCGCAGCTTCACGAAAGGTGTGGATTTGTCTGCCAGGCCTGGAAACACAACAGCACTAGACCTTCTCTTTTGAAGGTTCTTGATGAAGGTCGATCTCTAAGCAGACCTAGTGACCTAGTCTCACAGAGGCTTGTAGATGTCGAT